CTATTTATTTGAGATTATTATGACTCTTTAAATGTGTACGTAACTGTAACGTTGCTTCAGTCGCCTCATCTTCTTCATCTTCATTTTGCATGGCTTCATCTTCCATCTTCTGCACAGCTTCTAACATGATCCCATTCAATACATTGTCGACAACATGGCTTCCCTGAGCTTTGTTTATGCATGTATAATTGTACATTGTTGACAACATGGCTACTCTGGCCTTTGTTTATACATGTACAATTGTACATTGTTGACAACATGGTTCCTCTGGCCTTTGTCTATACATAAACAATTGTACATTGTTGACAACATGGTTCCTCTGGCCTTTGTTTATACATGTACAATTGTACATTGTTGACAACATGGTTCCTCTGGCCTTTGTTTATACATTTACAATTGTACATTGTTGACAACATGGTTCCTCTGGCCTTTGTCTATACATAAACAATTGTACATTGTTGACAACATGGTTCCTCTGGCCTTTGTTTATACATGTACAATTGTACATTGTTGACAACATGGCTACTCTGGCCTTTGTTTATACATGTACAATTGTACATTGTTGACAACATGGTTCCTCTGGCCTTTGTTTATACATGTACAATTGTACAATGTTGACAACATGGTTCCTCTGGCCTTTGTTTATACATGTACAATTGTACAATGTTGACAACATGGTTCCTCTGGCCTTTGTTTATACATGTACAATTGTACAATGTTGACAACATGGTTCCTCTGGCCTTTGTTTATACATGTACAATTGTACAATGTTGACAACATGGTTCCTCTGGCCTTTGTTTATACATGTACAATTGTACATTGTTGACAAGATGGCTACTCTGGCCTTTGTCTATACATGTACAATTGTACAATGTTGACAACATGGTTCCTCTGGCCTTTGTTTATACATTTACAATTGTACATTGTTGACAACATGGCTTCCCTGAGCTTTGTTTATGCATGTATAATTGTACATTGTTGACAACATGGTTCCTCTGGCCTTTGTTTATACATGTACAATTGTACAATGTTGACAACATGGTTCCTCTGGCCTTTGTTTATACATGTACAATTGTACATTGTTGACAAGATGGCTACTCTGGCCTTTGTCTATACATGTACAATTGTACAATGTTGACAACATGGTTCCTCTGGCCTTTGCTTATACATGTACAATTGTACATTGTTGACAACATGGCTACTCTGGCCTTTGTCTATACATGTACAATTGTACATTGTTGACAAGATGGCTACTCTGGCCTTTGTCTATACATGTACAATTGTACAATGTTGACAACATGGTTCCTCTGGCCTTTGTCTATACATGTACAATTGTACATTGTTGACAAGATGGCTACTCTGGCCTTTGTCTATACATGTACAATTGTACAATGTTGACAACATGGTTCCTCTGGCCTTTGTTTATACATGTAGAATTGTACATTGTTGACAACATGGTTCCTCTGGCCTTTGTCTATACATGTACAATTGTACATTGTTGACAACATGGTTCCTCTGGCCTTTGTTTATACATTTACAATTGTACATTGTTGACAACATGGTTCCTCTGGCCTTTGTTTATACATGTACAATTGTACATTGTTGACAACATGGTTCCTCTGGCCTTTGTTTATACATGTACAATTGTACATTGTTGACAAGATGGCTACTCTGGCCTTTGTCTATACATGTACAATTGTACAATGTTGACAACATGGTTCCTCTGGCCTTTGTTTATACATGTACAATTGTACATTGTTGACAACATGGTTCCTCTGGCCTTTGTCTATACATGTACAATTGTACATTGTTGACAACATGGTTCCTCTGGCCTTTGTTTATACATTTACAATTGTACATTGTTGACAACATGGTTCCTCTGGCCTTTGTTTATACATTTACAATTGTACATTGTTGACAAGATGGCTCCTCTGGCCTTTGTTTATACATGTACAATTGTACATTGTTGACAAGATGGCTCCTCTGGCCTTTGTTTATACATTTACAATTGTACATTGTTGACAAGATGGTTCCTCTGGCCTTTGTTTATACATGTACAATTGTACATTGTTGACAACATGGTTCCTCTGGCCTTTGTCTATACATGTACAATTGTACATTGTTGACAACATGGTTCCTCTGGCCTTTGTTTATACATTTACAATTGTACATTGTTGACAACATGGTTCCTCTGGCCTTTGTTTATACATTTACAATTGTACATTGTTGACAAGATGGCTCCTCTGGCCTTTGTTTATACATGTACAATTGTACATTGTTGACAACATGGTTCCTCTGGCCTTTGTTTATACATGTACAATTGTACATTGTTGACAACATGGTTCCTCTGGCCTTTGTCTATACATAAACAATTGTACATTGTTGACAACATGGTTCCTCTGGCCTTTGTTTATACATGTACAATTGTACATTGTTGACAACATGGCTACTCTGGCCTTTGTCTATACATGTACAATTGTACATTGTTGACAACATGGTTCCTCTGGCCTTTGTCTATACATGTACAATTGTACATTGTTGACAAGATGGCTACTCTGGCCTTTGTTTATACATGTACAATTGTACATTGTTGACAACATGGCTACTCTGGCCTTTGTCTATACATGTACAATTGTACAATGTTGACAACATGGTTCCTCTGGCCTTTGTTTATACATTTACAATTGTACATTGTTGACAACATGGTTCCTCTGGCCTTTGTTTATACATGTACAATTGTACATTGTTGACAACATGGCTACTCTGGCCTTTGTTTATACATTTACAATTGTACATTGTTGACAACATGGTTCCTCTGGCCTTTGTTTATACATGTACAATTGTACATTGTTGACAACATGGCTACTCTGGCCTTTGTTTATACATGTACAATTGTACATTGTTGACAACATGGCTCCTCTGGCCTTTGTTTATACATTTACAATTGTACATTGTTGACAACATGGCTACTCTGGCCTTTGTTTATACATGTACAATTGTACATTGTTGACAACATGGCTCCTCTGGCCTTTGTTTATACATGTACAATTGTACATTGTTGACAACATGGCTACTCTGGCCTTTGTTTATACATGTACAATTGTACATTGTTGACAACATGGCTCCTCTGGCCTTTGTTTATACATTTACAATTGTACATTGTTGACAACATGGTTCCTCTGGCCTTTGTTTATACATGTACAATTGTACATTGTTGACAACATGGCTACTCTGGCCTTTGTTTATACATGTACAATTGTACATTGTTGACAACATGGCTACTCTGGCCTTTGTTTATACATGTACAATTGTACATTGTTGACAACATGGCTACTCTGGCCTTTGTTTATACATGTACAATTGTACATTGTTGACAACATGGTTCCTCTGGCCTTTGTTTATACATGTACAATTGTACATTGTTGACAACATGGCTACTCTGGCCTTTGTTTATGCATGTAAAATTGTACATTGTTGACAAGATGGCTCCTCTGGCCTTTGTTTATGCATGTACAATTGTACATTGTTGACAAGATGGCTCCTCTGGCCTTTGTTTATACATGTACAATTGTACATTGTTGACAAGATGGCTCCTCTGGCCTTTGCTTATACATTTACAATTGTACATTGTTGACAACATGGCTCCTCTGGCCTTTGTTTAATGTTACAATGTTATGATGTTACTCCTGAAAGGTCACATGTTTAATCCATGTGAATCACTTCATGTTTTCCAACAAAAGGTAAGCCATCAGTGGCCACCTGTGAGTCATTGGACGAATATGGCCTCCTAATCGTAGGCCAACGAACTTTTTAACATGCAACCTTACTGTTAATAAAGCCTTAATTGTTTTAAACAAAATACAAGCATTTTCTTGAGATTTTATGAGATGCGAGCTATTGGAAAAGATTTTTTAATCTAGTGAGAAAGTAGAAAATGCAGTCGTGGTAGGATGGGATAGAATCCACGCAGGGATGTCTTTCAGTGCCCTGATAAAGCTTTTTAGACTTAAAGCCAACAAATCATATGATACATGCACCTGCCCATTTATTGGAAGTATTAATAGGGATCTTCACTCTTAAACAATGATAAAACCACACGTCTTACAATATTCCTATTTAGGAGTTAAACATCTCCAACACAGAGTAACAATATCCTAAGAGAACAAACCATATGAAATGCAATAAGTTTGCAATCAAAATGTAATCAAAATGATCTGAACTCTCTTTGAAACTGCAAAACTTGAAATTCCCGTAGAATTTTGTTAAAACATGGATATTTTAAAATTGCTAGTTTTTTGTCAATATTACTTAGATTTCCAAATAAAAAAATTTGAGTGTCACAAAATGTTTCAAGTTAAAGTATGCCGAATTTCATAATCAAACTCTTTTTGGATATTTTTCTACAATACATCAAAGTAGGTGACAAAATTGTGTGTGGGGTACTATTTATTCATCCTATTCATGGCCTTCTGTTCTTAACTCTGGCTTTTGGGGTAGATTATGTTTCAGCTTGGTGGAAAATTCATAGCATCAAAGCCTTCAAGACACAAGGGACCTTGATAGAAAAGCTTTCATCAACAAAATTAGAGTAAGTTGTTAAATACATTTTTAAATATTTTATTCAATAGAAGAAATGCATAACAATAAGCATTTAAATATCTTGCTTTAAATACAAGCTTACAAGCAATAGTAAATATACTTTAAGTACATGATCTTCAATTTTGGCCTGCATGTAATACTCAAGTATAGGTACTGTAAATAAAAATTATAAAAATCCTGGGATATTATAGCCTCTTAAGTCTCATTGAGAATTTGCATATTGAAAATGAAATATTTGAATATTTTGATTTGTGACCCTATTTCTTAAAATGAAGCCCATATATGAAGGTAAAACTTCCCCGTATCATCTAAGAGTAATCTGGCCAAATAACTTCCTAGTTAGCTAGGCTTCTATATGCATATTGTATTGATTGGGTAAATCCACCTAATTAAGTAGTAGCCAAAATTTCAAATTTTCTCTATCTGCCAAATTAAGTAGCGCTAAATTAAAGCAATTTACAGTAACTGAACAATATGTAAGTAAAATGTATCCAGTCCTAGTTGATTATAGCTCAATCAACATTATTTACGATTAAAACTAGATGGCGCCAGTAGATGTGACAACACGCAAGTGAATCCATTTTTTGTTAAGCATAATTGTAACTTGCTTAATTTGGCTATTTAATTGCATTCAGCAGAAAGCTTTTGTATGAAACTGTTCAGAACTGGACTTCCTATTTCCATGTATTGTCGTAATACTGTTATTTTAATCAAGCAGGAATTAAGATGGCGTCATTTTCTGTAAAGTTCTATTTTTCTTCAAGAGATTCTGCCGATCTTGCAGTTGTTTTGTGACTTTCTCGGGGAGGCTTTCATCTGTGAAATGGGCTGAAAAATAAGTTAGAAAGCATAAAAATTAAATTGAAAGGGGTTGATATTATCAAGTACAGTTAAAACTGCTAAGTGGAACACTTCTGTAAGTGTAACATCTCCCAAGTGGAACACTTTTTTGTGGCCCCAAGGGTGTTCCACTTAAGCAGGTTCTTCTGTATATACAAACATGAACATTACATTAATAAATATATCAAATATACACATATTTATACTTTATAAAAAATGAAAACATAATGCAAAGTTATGTAAAGTAAATATAGAAGTTTTTACATGTTTAACATGTTTTGCTTTTCCACCCATAATGTTAGAAGCCAATATCAATCTTATTTGAAAGAAATTATTGCAGTTATGCAAAAATATCTTAAATATAAATTTTAGGAAAGCAATTCAATTTGACAAGGGTTAATAAAAACTTTTATCTAAAATAGTATTAAAGTTATAGATTTGAAAAATAGAGTAGTGGCATTTTAAAGTGCACTTTGACATTCATCTGCATACCTTAAGAAAATGTGAATGAAAACAAATCAATGAGATAAAGTATATGTTAGCTGGAAAATTCAATTAGTCAAATTCTCTGTTCTATTCTTAAAGCATTTCATTTTAGCCACTTTGATTATCATTTTTCCCATTAAGTAATTTAAACCAGTGATCTCTCCAGTAGGAAAACAACTTGCATGTCCTGCACCCACTTGAATTATTGAAAAAAAGCTCGCACCTACCTGAAAATCTATTTACACCCATTTTGAATTTGAAAAGAAGGCATTGGCATGCAAAATGTCACTACCTGCCATTTTTACGGACACCAAAAGCCAAACACCAAAGTCAAGCGCCTACTGCCAAACACTGTCCACAAAAAAGTAGGAGATTTTAACAATATGTCACCAGAATGAGAAAAATCATGAAAATAGTCAAGGTTTGGCTAAATTTGGAATAAATTGTGAATTTTGCACCCACTTATAAAGGGAAGAAAACAACCATGTATACTAACTTTATTTCCATGGGAGATTCAGCTTAAGGATTTAGCAATCAGTCTTTCAACAACCTTATCGCTCAAATCATTTCTCGTAAAATGCTCTGTTGGTCCATAGTTAGTGAAAAGGCACAAAACATTGTAGCTTATTACAAACATATATTATTAATCAACGTTATTGACTAAACTACAAGAAAAACATAAATCACTACAAATCTATATGAATCACTAAAACTAACAGAAAACAACACAGTTTACAGTAAAAAGTAAAAACAAAAGGAATCACTAAACTTAATTGCAAAATAAATCAAAATACTTTACCGAAAAGAAGCTAGTGAAACTATGCAAACAAATATTTAAAGACTTTAAAATGAACAGATAAAAGATGCAAAGATTCGAAAGGAAATTCTGAAAGGACAAAGCTGACATAGGGATTAGGGTGGGAATGTTAATGAATGAATATTTGTACTTGCAGTAATGTTATCGAAAAATAACTAAAGGATGGGGTGCTAATCTGATAAGGATGCCTCCTTTTAGTAAACTTAATGTATGTAACCATAACCAGCCTGTCTCCTTTTAGACCCCAGGTGCCCTTTCTTAAATGAGCAGTAAAAACTAGAAGAATCTCTACTGGGATGCTGTACATGAAAGCTAAGTTCACACCAATGGCGCTTTGATGGCTCTGTAAAGCTGCTTGCAAAGCGGCCTTGCACGCTGCTTTAAAGCGCTATCAAAGCGCCGTTGGTGTGGACTTAGCTTTACAAACATTGATCATCAGGTGAATGAAAGGATGTAAAGGGGGTGGAATCAGGGGCAGAATGGTAGGTACCAAGGAGTAAATGGATGAACATGGACCTTAAACTGGGTATGAGATGTATTGTTAATTTCTAACAAGGTGCAGTGCCTTAAGTTGCTTTGGAGATCATATCACATCATCAGGCCCGTAGCCAGGGGGTTTGGGGGTGGGGGGTTGAGCAAACCTCCCTGGGCCAATATTTCAAAAACCTTTGGTTTTTCACAATTCTAAGCAATTGTCAAGTGATTTTTGGCCAAAGTTGTCAAATTTAAACCCCCCTGGAATTTTTGAAAATAAACCACATCCCTTGGTAAAAACTGGCCACGGGCCTGTATCATACTTGCAATACATTTCACCAGTGCTTCTTAACTAGTTAAGAGTCAGAGGCCCCTTTAGTAGGGTCTAATTACAGGTAACAGTAACAAAAAGAGACGACAGAATACAACTATGCATAAAGCCACAACCAGCAACATTAGTGTCATACTGTATAATAACATTACCTGCTGCAAATTCTCTAACATTTTCTGGTCTGTGAGTCAAAATCTCTCTGAAAATGAAACAATATACAAGTACATTCCAATATGTATACTATATGTTAATATGGAGCAGTAATGGGTGGTTTAGGATAATGAGATTATTATGGGTTTATTTAAGAAAATGACATTTTAACAACTGACAGCTAAAAAGATTGAGCTATAATCACCTAAGCACTGTTCCACAACTAGTTACTTTGAGGGAACGTCAATGTAACAAAATGGATGAACTTCCTGGTTGTGAGTTTTTTGTTTTTTCTATTTAAACCTACTTATAAGTCAAGTTGCAGATGATAATTTGGCACAAAGCTAGAAAGTATAGTTTTGCTTTAATAACTTTCTGCGATTTACTTACCCAAGGAAGCCTGCCAGTAAACATTCAACTTCGGGGTGTTTCCGCAAATATTTTTCATTTTCTAATCTGGTTTGAATCTAAAATCAGAAAAACATATAAATAATGATGTAATAGTATAATAACTACAGGGGGTCATTCACAGAATCTTTGTAAAGTTAGGAATTCATAAAGTCCTTTTTATCTAACTGTGACATCATTATATGCATGGCTACAACAATTGATTTCCGAATTCGTAACTCTACAAAGTTTCTATTAATGAGCCCCTGACACTGAAATAGTAAGTGTCACTGCATTTTAGAGACATCACGAAACAAAAAACATGGAATGATTTGGTTTCAGAACTGAACATAATGAACTTCTTTCAGAATTTTAAAGAATATGCCTTTTTTCAGCGCAGCAATTTGAGGGCCAGAAATTGTGAAAATGTAAGATATACCAGTATAATTATAATATGTAGAGGATATCCTATGATTTTGAGAGATATCATTTTTATCCACCAGTTGATATCAATATCTGGACGAGTGAGCGTAGCGAATTAGTGCAGTTATAATATCAACGAGTGGATTAAAATGATATCACGAGAAAAACATAGGATGTTCTATTTATCCCATAGTTCACCTAACCATGGACGTAGTTGGTATATGTCCATGGTCGTAGCGCCTTTTACGCAAAGTACGCACAGGCGTACCAAATGAATTTGAAAAAATTAAAAATGTGTTTAAATGCATTAATTTATTTGCGAATTTATTGATGCTTCCTACCATATCTGTATGTTTACCATTGTCAACATTAAAGTTGATAAAAATGCTTAGATTCCATCAAATAAAGTCATTGAAAAAAGTTTTTGCAGGGGAGCATACCCCCGGAACCCCCGCGATGCGCGGCCTTCAGCCACGCAATCAGACATCCCCGAGTGTGCGTACCAACTCAAAATATAGCCCTACACCAATGACGTCCATGACCTAACAAAGCATTTCAAAACATCATTCAGTTTTATTTTGTCATTTGAACTGTATAGCCAAAACATTAATCATTTCCATATTTGTGACGTCAAGAAATCACCAAGCTCATGTAACAATGCATGTCACATTTGCGGGAGTTTTCAAATCCGTGGAAAAAAGTGATATCTGTGGAATATCCTCCGTATTCCACAGATATCGCTTTTTTCCACGCATTTGCAAAATATCATAAATATATATACGTGTATGGGATAAAATTATATCAAGGGCAAGTATGTTTGGTCATATTTTTCATTAGAAATAGGAATTCTAAAGCAGTTTGACCAGGTCTTGACGTATCTGTTGAATTTCTACTTTTGAAAAATAATGGAGCTCCCAATGCATTGTGTGCAAGACCAGAAAAAAGAGATGGTTTTGGTATGTGATAAGTCAAACTTAAATTTTTAAGAAAGGTTGATCTAAATTGAAGATATATCATAATTGAAACTTTCAGTAGTTTTTTTCTAAGTACCTATGCAACAATAGGACCATTTCCCCAAGTTTATGGAAAAAAGTTCCAACTACAGTTACCCCCATAAATGTGGGTTGATTTGAGGGGGAATAATCCCAGCGTTCAAAGATGACATACAAGATGACTTACATCCCTTAAGTAGATACCAATGCTTTTAGATACTCAACTTTTTGGCAATTGAATTAAAAGTCCCTGCCTGCATTTAGTAGTTATTTATATATTGTCCTGTGCATAATTTTGAGTGACTTTTGACATTGGTATCCTGGGGGTCATTAACAGAACTTTCGCAAAGTTACGAATTCGCAAGTCAATTGTTAATTTTATGAATTTGGTAAATGTGCATTAACAGAACTTTCATAAACTTACGAACGATTCGCAAAGTTACGAAAAAATGACGTCACGTATGCTTTCGTTCGTAACTTTAATAGCACCTCAGACCCTTTCATAACTTTGCGAATGGCATATTTCTCATACAGTACTTATGTAAGGTATACAGGTTGGCAAAAAGAAATTGTTCTTTATATGCCTGCTAAGTTTCAAGCTAAAATATCCACCTATTCTTACATAATAAGCAAATATGTTCCTGAGCTGGGAATCTTTGAAATCGCGGAGACAGGTTTAATCACAGCGCGCAATGATATCAAATGATATCATATTTCTATTTGTGCTAAATAATGATAAATGATGACGTCACAATTTGAAATTCGTTTACGAACGATAAAACTTATGAATGACTTACGAAAGTGTTCTGTTAATGGCCAATTCGTAACTTTACGAATTCGTAAGTCATTCGTAACTTTTTAAATATTTACGAATTTCATAAAGTTACGAATAACGAATTCGTAACTTTGGGAAAGTTCTGTTAATGACCCCCAGTTTATTAACATCATCAAGGGCGACTTCAAAATTGCGAGTCGAAATATGCTTCGAATAATATTGTTCTTTTCTGGTCGAATATCATAGCTTCTTATTTCACATCAAAATAAAGAGAGGTGTACACGCCTACATCAATTTAAACATCACATCGAAGTGTAGAAGAGACATGATTATGTCTGTTATCTCTAGGGTGTTGCCTCCCAGATTTATGGGGGTAACTGGAGTGTAAATGTGGTATTCAGCATGGGGACGATGGGTTACTGTACTGATTATATGATGATATGCAATGCATTTTAGTTAAAACAGAACTTGAAATCAGATTTTGTGGCTAATGACCAAGACATACTCACTTCGAGAGCCATGTTAGATTTTCAATTTATGCCTCTCGAACGGGGAAATGGACAGCTGAATAATCGTGACCTCTGAAACATGAATTGAGTAGATCAGCGTCGATCAGCGCCTTACTTCTGTTCTCTAACTATGTCATACATCATTATCATCCTTCCGTAAAAGTATTGGAGCGCTGAAGTACTTCCTTTTCAATCAAGACTTGTAATTGTTAGTCGAGTGAATCTTTTTTTCTGCTAAATTCCAATATGGCGTTTTCTGCTCGGACATTTTCGTAAATCTCCGGAGGTTGTCCGAACCTAACTCCTCAAAATTCATTTCGTTCGTTGCGTATCTCGCTCCTAGCAAACCGCCATATTGGAAATGGGTCGAAAAAAACATTCACTCGACGAACGATTTACAAGTCTTGATCAGAAAAGAAGCTCCAATACTTGCACGGATTGATGATACCGATGGAAGACACAGTTAGAGACCAAAAGTAAGCCACTGATCGACTTAATTCGTGTTTCAAGGGTCACTATTATTCAGCTGCCCAAGTGCGCCGTGGGAAAGCTATTATATCAAAATCCACATAGCTTTCGCAGTAAGTAAACCAAGACTAGGCCACATGTAGGCCTAGTCTACTCTATCTTACTCTACCGAGCTGACAGAAGTCAGCTCTGGGAAGTTCCGTTGGCATTGCAATGAAGAGAAGTTTATGAGCGCATGCGCCAAAATTAAAAGATGGTGCGCGCCGGAACAGAAATTTCTCCAATTTAACTGCAAATTACACAACAAATAGGACTTGTTGACACCACGCGTCAAAAAAGGGGCAAGTAATATTCAATTATCTTCCTAAATACCGTTACTTATGCCAGCGCACCAGCTGGAAGTTGGGGAAAAACGCTTCACAAGCCGGTATATTCTAACGGTGTGTCAGCTGGCTTTTGAGTGTGTTCAGTAAACTCTATCTCACAGGAAGTTGTATCAAGTGCTTTTTGGTCCTTTATGATTTTTTGGCGTTCTCATTCTCTGTATAGATACTACTTCAGAGAGTGAGGAGAGTGAAAAAAACGTAAAGACCAAAAAGGACTCGATACAACTTCCTGTGGTCTAGGCTATCTGTCATGAAAAAAACTACGAAAAAAACCCAAATAATTGACCTTACTTTGAATTTATTAAGTTTCTCCTGTTGTTCCGGACTCAATGCTCCAAGGTCTCCTGGTCCCCCGAGGTCGTAGGGCTCCATTCCGTGAGGAGGATCAGTTTTTGGTTGGGCAGCCATTTTTGTTTACTTGACGATTGCGGAAATTACCGGAAATTAACGGAGTTGGACGAATGCACCGATCAATCTGTACAGGACGCCGACTTTGAAATTAGGCTTATAAATGATTTATTACATTGACCCCTTTTTAACTCAAGTGTTTTGGACTATTTTTAGTTCAAATGCATCCAATAAGCTTAGTTCACATAATGTTTTCTACTAACTTTTAACTTCAGTCAAAGACTCAAAACTGGATCAGGAGTTAGACGCTAAGCTTAACTGTTTGATAACTCAGAAGTATCCCCTCATACTTCTTCCCCGGGAATATTTATGTTACAGTGGAAGAATTCAAACTGTGATTATGGGTGCAAAACTGTCAACTGCAGATATTCAAAGTGATGAAGGTAGGAATTAAGCTACATTGTAATAGGTCTGTGTATGACGACGGGGATGCGATTTTGAAAAATCAATTCCCAATTTTTATAATTTTTATAAGGCCCAAAGTCAAAGTACATGTAATGAACAAAAAGGCCCACTAATTGAGGCCCTACAAAATTTTTGGGCTCGTCCAAGTGGGAGGAGAGGGGCTGGTCGGCCCAATGCCCCTCGATCCGCCAGATCCTTACTTGGTAACCCCAACAGTCTACCCCCCCCCCCCAGAATGGGTCGAGAAAAAATTGGCCCAAAAAAACTAAGTGGGTCGTTAAGCATTAGTTGGGCCTTTTTGAGCATTACAGGTATTTTGTAATTTTAAGCCGAACCATCCAGAAAAATTAAAAATGTTAATAACACGATAGCACAACCATGCAACAGTTAGGGGTTTTCAGACTAAAATGTGTGAAATTGTTAGTTTTTAGATCTGCCCCTGTAGACGACCGAGGTGAAGTCAAGGACACAGAGATAGACGTCCTTGAATTGGTGTAGTCTACTGTTCGATTAATTAATGCGAGCTTGTGTTAGTCTTCATGATAACACGAGTGTCCAGCCATCATGTACGGCGAAAAAACAGTTGATTTGAATCCTACATCTGGTAGTTACATGTATTTCGATTGTAAAATTTAAATTGACTATTTAGTGTATAGGTGAATAAGTGCAAGGGGCACATTCAAAGATAAAATTAAATAGTTTTGATCGGAACGAAATATTGTTATTGTCTTGGATCTGCATTGAAAGATGGAACCTATTGTTTATGTAGTGATCAACTAATTTATTATTTCTATAGTCCATATTGTTACAATACAGGTGCACTGAAAGACTGAAATATTCTTCATGCGGAGATACAGCTGCATTGAATAAAATGTTGTTGTTGTCTTACATCTGCATTGAAAGATAAAAAACTTTGTTGTCCACTTGTTTGTGTAGTGATCAACTAACTGATTATTTATTGTCCACTTCCTACAGTTCAGCTGCGCTGAAATATTGTATATGCGGAGATACAGCTGCATTGAATATTGAAATGTTGTTATTGTCTTAAATTTGCATTGAAAGATAAAAAACATTGTTTACGTAGTGATAAATTTGTTGTCCACTTGTTACAGTACAGCTGCACCGAAAGACTGAAATATTCTTCATGCGGAGATACAGCTGCATTGAATAAAATATTGTTATTGTCTTACATCTGCAGTGAAGGATAGTTATTGTTTGCTTTCAAAGCCCATGGATCAACTAACTGATCATGAATATTCTATTGTCCATTTGTTACAGTACAGTTGCATTTGTACATGCGTTTATACAGCTGCATTCAACAAAATATTATTGTCTTACAGATACATCGAAATATTAAATCATTGTTTTACATTGCGTTACAGCTGCATTAAAAGGTAGACTTGAAGCCTGGTTTAGTCTTATGAAGGAAAAACGACTAGAGGACGTCGTAAATCTTTACACAACAGATTGTGTCATTCTACCTCCCAAACAGCCAATACACAAGGGACACGAAGGTGTGTATTAGAAAATATAAATGTCCCGACATTTGGAGATATACATAGGTTCTGGGCCGATATAAAGATGGCAGCGCCAACAGAATCCAGTATTATCTTTTTCTCTATTTATAGATACCGTACGTAAACACAGATCGATTACCATGCCATCTTTATTTAAAAATTATTTCTATCGACCTTAGCCTCTGGAAATATAGACGGGTCACCGACTTCGTTTCCTTGATACTTATTAATTTGAAAATAGTTTTCGTCTGATTGTAATAAATATTTTAAGATAACGTCATTACAATAGTCTGTATAATCCACTAAAGGTGTGATATGTAATTGCGTTGTCAAGATTAGAACTAGTCTATGTGGTCCTTAGGCGGCTGAAAACTTGAAATGTCAAATCATTTCTCATATGCTGTATCAGAGTCATAGTTCGCCGGTTTAAAACTCTCCAAACACCTACATGCCTGTTAGCTAAAAAGTGTAACGTCGCACAGGTTCGCCATCTATCGCAAATCACCTTCTTTATATTGCCTGTTTTGGTCTGAATTCCAGTCACAGCACCTTTTCTTTTATAGATGGCAGGAGAGTGTTTAGACAGTTCATTGAAGCAGGGGTCACGTGTCTACATACGGGTTACGTTACATTAGATATACACGGGAACATCGCAATCACAGTCTCCACATACAGCATTCAAGACGGAGAAGAGAAAGAGATTGAAACTGGAAGGTAGATTTCGCATACCAAATGTATTTTAGATCTCTTGCTACCGTTATTTGATTAGGATTTTTAACTCACACTTTTCAAACTATTGGCAACAACAGCTGCAATATTTGACCCCGTGCTTAGACCTTTTTAGCCTTTGTCAAATATAGACATATACCTTAATTTGCCGTGCATTTGGAGTAATGCTAGACCTATACAGTATATAGGACGGCTATGATATTATTTCTCAGATTTATTATCACCATGATAATGTGCAATACTTATTTTCAGCGTTTTGAATACTTGGAAGAAACTTGACGATGGTCTTTGGTACATGTTCAGAGGGACGTGGGGACCATCATCATGAAAACGACTAGGTACTCAAATCAAACGTCAAATATGTTCTATATTACCCCGGGTATGTTACCAAGCATACGGAGACTTAAACTCTCACTTCTGTTTAAAAAGTGAAAATAAGCAAAACATGTTAAATGCTCGGCAATAGGCCACTTTCGGAGCTGAACAATTCAGTTGGTATACGTCCATGGTTAGGTCTATTACAGTATAACTTTAGCCAAATCCGAGGGGGGATTGTCTCCATCTGATGTCGCCAAGGAATGGGCCCCCAACTTGGGAATGTTTATCTTGTTCCAACCATCCTCTAGAACGTATACGTAGAGATAGTCTTGGAACGAGATAAGGGAATGTAATCTCGATATTATTTCGTTTCGTCCGGTACACATTCTAATCCCCGGGAATTAAACAAACCCTTGAGGATGTCGTGATTTCGAAATTCAAAAAATGCACAAGAAGTGATCAAGATATTAGCTGCTGATTTTGAACTTTTAGTCGGTGTCAGACAATAACGACATTTTTATTGTTGGAAAATATCGATATTGCATTCTGGGAGCCAATCCTCCTTTTCTTGAATCCAAACGGGGATTAAGTCTACAAAAAGATGAAAGTATTGGCTATCTAGGCCTATATGTCTTTGACAGACAGACAATTACAAAGTAAAGCCAAGAATTAACTTATAAAACAAACAAAGACTATATGTGATACATGATGTGTATTTATAAATACTTCTACATGTATTGGATTTTAATTAGTACATAATGTCACGTTCACAGATTTATAAAATGCAACTTTGAACATCCTTTATGTAGTTAAACGAGAACATTTTTAATATTTAATCAAAAGCTGCGTGCAATGTAGAAATTAAATACTAATCTAGTAATATAACTCGGATAGGGCTGTTTCAGTGTAATCAATACTGTATTGTTTTAAACGATTAAAATAAACATTTAATTACAAAAAAAAAATAGAATTACATCAAAGTAAATTATAAAATACAGTTTTGGACACGATATTGCATGTATACTGTATGTATACATACGTAAAAATCGTACACTAGTGTGTATGTATGTGTATTTCATACTTGAGTGGGTTTGGGGTAGATATCACCCGGGAATATATATCATATCTGAGGAGCGGGCAGGATATAGTGTATATGTCCCGCTCTAGGCCAAATGCGGGCAGATATAATATATCCATCCCGCTCCCGGATATTTTTTCAAAAGTTTAAATTTTTCAAAAAGTTTAAATGTTACAATTCTATTGTATTGAACTGAAGGAATATTATGAAAATGTTAAATATAAATTGTGCTTTTACAGTATAGGCCTATCTTGTCATTTGAAAAAGGTGGTAAAGGTTATATCTACCCCAAACCCACTCAAGTATGAGATACACCAGTTATGTACGGTCGGTTTTGGATACAGTGTTTATCCCGCGGGGAATATGTGTATCTCCCTCGGTCCCTGCGGTCCCTCGTGAGATACACATATTTCCCTTGGGATAAACCCTGTATCCAAAACCTCCCAGTACATAACCCTTATACATATTTATTGCCCTTTATATAAAGGAGATACAGACTAGTAAACATTTTGTCCAGCAGAACTTCCATTCAGGAAACCTGCCTGGTAAACATAGAACATTTTGTATTGTATATCAAAACAAAAATGGTATCCATGAATTCTTTATTCTTACTTGGCATGGACCAACAAAAAACCATGTCGCAAAAGAACAAGAATATTTTCCTTATAAAGTGAAACCACCAGCATAAATAAAATAAAATGCATATGCGAGTAGCATAATGATGTTTCTTTATATTTAGGATTTGTGGACCAGTACATTGGAAAAATTATAGGCTTTTACATTTAATTTGATATTTCAATTCAAATTATTGTTTTGTCAAGCGTGGCTAATAATAAGACAGATATTAATTAAATGAACAAAAGTGAATCAGAATCAAAAATATGTGATTTTGGGGGAAATTTCAATGTACTGGAAAGTTTTTTCGAGATCTTACTTGTGGTAAGGAAGATCAGTATTATTAAATACTTCCGTTGTCAATGGGACTATGTGACGTATTGGGGCATTTTAGCCACATGGTTGGATGATTTTTGGGTGGAAATGACGTTTTTCCAATTTACGAGAGTCTCTTAAGTAGTTTTGTGCAGTTTAAGAATATTCTGACAGCAATTATGAAAAATATGGCTACTTTATTAACCCTGGGGTAATTTTTCCAAGGACCCAATGATTTTCCTTTTAATTGACTACAGTAGTTTTTTCATTTACACCATGAATTCTACTGCCTGATGGTGACATTTTACAATTTCGTGTCAAGAAATTGGGTATTTAATTGCATATTGCAATTTTTAGCCAAAATCACTGAACCGTAAACCAGAAAACTGGGCAAATTTGGCCTACTTAGTAGGCGATTTTATTCCATTGAACATCCTCCTGATTTGAAAAATGATGACAATTTTGATCAGTTTTGAGTTTGGCCTTGAGAATTGGGACTTTTAAGGTAGTTTTAGCTCAAAAATCATTCAAAGTGGACAAATACATCAAAAATTGACACATAACTGACCAAACTCTGACTGTACCCTTGGTATGTACCTTCATTCATTCCTCGAAACCATAAGATGGAAAATTCAATCTTTTTTATGAACAGAAACTCATTGGCTTCCCCAAAACGACAAAATATAACCTATTTGGGCATTTTTGCCCCCATGTCAATCTATAGCCTACTGATCATGTGATACAAAATTCATATTTTATCTGACGTCGCGAATTCTGACGTCTACGTCATTATATTTTGTTTAAAATCAAAACTACGTTGTCAATCAAAGTTGCGTTAGATCATATTTAGGATATTGCGCAATGGTTTGTGATATTATGGTTTTGGAATGTTAATTCTGAATACTGGAAGATCATGGGGTATTGTACATTTTTACGGTGACCGTAAGAAGACCGTAGATTTTGTTCGATCGAAACTATGTTTTCCGTTAGGTACATGTAGCCTTAAGCAAATATAACCGAGGCATAATGAAGAAGCTTGCTAAACACGTGTCAAGTGCCAATACAACTTTCACATGTAAGTAACATTGTACATGAAACTTTTAGATCACCCCTCGTCGAAAGGTATATTAGTACTTTTCCTCAGCAAGGCACGATCTTGAAGAGTGCATCAGATTAACAAACGTCGCTAGTTATTTGTGTTTGCTTCGTTTATGACCCTGTAGAGTTCCACGATAGGGAAACTTATCCCCACATATGTCGCATTCGTATTGTTCGGGATTCTCATGGCCTTTAATATGCTCTTTTAAGTAACGTTCTGCTTTAAAGGACTTCCTACAAACCTTACAATGGAATGGTTTATCGGTCCGTTGACAGATCTCTTCGTGATTACGTAACGTTGACTTTGCTTTGAATGCGGTCATGCATTTGGCGCATTCATATTTCTTTTCTACGGTGGGTGTTGCCAAATGTTTGACAACCTTCTCTTTATTATCGTTTGTTTGTTCACATTTTGCTTGCTTCTTAGTTTTTTCTGGTGGACTTCGTTTACTACAGGTCTTGGTGGGTGTTTGGCCTTTGCGTTGAGAGCTGGCTACAGGTACTTGTAACGCTGCTGGTTCGGGGAGCTGCGCTTGGTCTTGTGCAGATGGTTTTGAGCCATATTTCTGAAAAATACAAGATAGTTCCACAGATGTATTAATGACGAACGCTTAATTCTCAAAAATAAATCTATTTAGAACATAACAATATATGACCATCCTAAGTAGTTTAGCTTGTGATAAGCCATTCACCCCCTGGGGTGTCTTTATTACTGTATGTTAATATGTTTACATGATTTAAATATTAAATAAATGAAAAAAAATCAAAATACTTATTTCGGCTTCTGTAACTTGATCGAACTATAAAAATTAATATTTCGAATGTTACACTTTTCTGGTTATACTGCATGTATGTTTGTAACTTACATTTTCATCATTTTTCTTCTTCCTTGAATTCTCAGTCTTTGGTACTAACCCGTAAGCCGGTTGGTCGGAAGTGTGCGTCTCAGACCTAGATAGACACATGAAGACACGTTAACAGAATATGAAACGTTTAAAGCAAGCATATAGATCGATATATATTTACAATATATAGTTATAGACGTGTCCATACTATATGTATATGTAAGTTTAGGTGCCGAAACGACCTCTACTTGAATTGACCATCTTCCATATAAATGAGGTGTTCTGCACTTTACACGCTCATACATTTTCAGGATACCTAAGAAATTCTTATACGCTCATTATAAGATTATGCATTTGGAGTTCGAATTGTTCTTAACAGTTATCATATGTCAGGAGAATATTATCGAAACGACCGCTACTGAAAAGATTTCTGTTCATGAAGTATAAATGTTAGGATACTTACGAAATTCAGCTTTAGTGTTTGAAGTTTAAAATGTTCTTAATCTTGACCCTATTATGCGGAGAATATTAGCGTGTTGTTACCTTTGATTTTTTACTCCTTTGCGTCCCGACTTTAGCCTATCCTCTTTGGAATTCACACCAGTTACTCTAACGCTTGTCTTCATTTTGTCATGTTGCCACTCAAAGTCAACCTTGCCCGTGTCAGTTATTTTAAAGAATTTCTTCAAACTTTCATTTAGAGACCTTAACGTTGAGTTCTTTTTGATTTCACCTTTGTCATTGCGAAGAAATGCATCAAACCAGTCCGTATTGCTATTCAGCTTAACGTGCTGAACAACCCACAACATTGAGATCAGTAACGATACTCGCTTTTCACCACTTATTTGCAAAGCTTTTTCTCTGTAAACAATATCAGGAATTTCGATATGTCGATTGGTTAAAAACACAACATTTTCATGCTCGTCAAATTCTTCATTTGGTTTCAACATCATGTCATAGATGATAGCAATAAAGCATTTGTCGATATTGTCCGAACGGCACTCTGTCTGGTGGTGGAGGATAACGGCTTTTAAGATATACGATGAAACACTGTAAGAGAACTTCGAGGACATTAATGCACTAGTTAAGTGTGTTACATACTTGACTGTTAGAAGTAAATTTTTGTGGACTGGTGTCAGTTTATATATGCTATTGTCTGGCAGACTTACTACTGATTCCAGCCATCCTTTATTCGTAGGGACCATAACACTTGGTCCCAGCTCATGTGGCTTCCATTTAAGGCAGAAACACATATCAATGTCTGTGGTTCCCAGAGGTGCACCAACCCTAAGCCACACACTTGGGCCATGCGGTGCATTATGAGTGCTTATTTCTCTTGTGTTTTTGTCGTAATCCTTAGGATCCTTAGTGTGGTCGCATTCACCAATAAACATCACAGTTCCTTCCTTATGCATATCCTCTAGCACCCTGTTGACGTTCTGACGTATCTTAGCAAGCAGTTCTCGACATTTCAATTCAGCATCTTTTCCGTTTGGAAATGTACGTACCAAATATTGTTCGTGTATATGTTTATGCAATTCCTTTTCTCGAAATAGAATGGTTTTGTACCCCTGTTCCTTCAAACCAGGCATCGGTTCAGTTACGTTAGTAATATGTTTAGACAAATCCAGAATCGGCTCATAATCGTACTCATCTGGGTCAAGAATCTTAGTACCGTCATAGTAGCTTCCGCGGTTGATCTGTTCATTAGTTGCCAATGCGGGTTCCCGTAGACCTACTTTCCTTCTGATGTCCGAAACGAGCTTTTCTATATATGCTGTCTGCATATCCAATTGTCTCGCTGAGTACTTACGTCTAATGTCAACTTTCTCAACTGTTTTGTCAACGAGATTTTTTAAACGCACCATCATACAGCTAGAAATAAAAAACAAAATAGTTTTGACATTTACCACCTGTCAACATACAGGTCAAGCAATCGTTTAGAGATAATAACATACATATATTATATTAGGCGAATGATCCCAAAAAACAATTTCAAACACTCTGACTCATGACAAACTACTGTAGAAAGATTTGAAACTTTTGAAAGTTTTGTTGTTTTAAGGGTAACTCTCAAGAACACCTTGAATTGTGTTTTCGATAGATCGCAATATAGAAAAATATTTTTATACATATTTCATTTCGTTTTCTTTTCAGAATGTCGAACAAAAGGCACTTTATAAAATAGTTCTTTTTAATTTAATTTTTCTCGAAAGGAATGTGCTTTCTTGCTAGTGTAATAATTACATGGCATCACAGTTTCAGATAGTATTTTCTGTATTCACGCTCTTTTTAATTGCACAAGAACAACTTTTACACATATGAAAATCTTCAAATATTACTCAATTTCAGACACGGTTTGACTTGAAACCTGTAGACAAGCTTCGGGAGACAAGATTTTAGGACGGAAAATTCAAAATTAACATTTACCCAGAATGTCCAAAAACTAATGCGTTATATAAACTTTCCTAGTAGTCGAAACATCAGTTTTTCGGGACGCCCACCAGACCTTCCGCCCGATTTTACCGTTTGACATTTGCAAATCAGCAAAGAATGGGATGAAAATCGTAGTTTTCAAAAGCCCCACTTGGCCACTTTTCAATCTGGGGCACTTAATTTTAAAACCCGGTATACAGGGTGTTCCAAAAAATGGGACACTCGTATTTCAAAAATAAATATTGATTTTCTTGATTAAAACATGTAATAATTCCAATTTTGATTTTACAAAACAAATCCAGTTCTTCTTCTCCAATTCCCATACACACATACTAGTTGCCAAGCACACTCGCACATAGTATTTCATATATATCAACACTCTTTCACCATCTCTCAGTATATCTACCAAATTATACATACTAGTATTAACATCATTCCTTCAGCATTAACTAAACATAGGACTCTTTTGTACGAATTCGCACGTTTCATGCCATAACTCCTTGAAAGTATAATGAAACCTCCATAGGGATAATACCACTGACTCATAAGAATCGGCTTTCAAAGGTAAAACTTCATGTTTTCAACGTTATTTCCCCATGAGACTAATAATTTACAAAATATTTCAGGTTTCTCTTTCTGAATCGCCACATTAGCAATATATATTTATCATCATCATTAAATATATCACAATTCACACACAAATACAGTTATGGAAATAACTAATTAGAGTATTTAAAAGAGCTACCTCGTTATAACAGTCATAGAGCTATAGAAATATATTAACTGGGACATGTTTATACAACATAATCATAGCATCCACACATCAATTTGAATGACAGCTTTTATCTGCAAAATTATGTTTATTATTATGTCTTACTTTAGTTGATTTACAAGTAAAAGCAACTTAAAACACTTAGAGTATCCATCAACTAACTGGAGTATTTGTTGTTGCATTTTTCTGAATCTTCAAAGGAACTCAAGAGATCAGAAAATACCTTAGAGCGAAATTATAATTTGGCACAAAGCTAGAAAATATAATCTAGTTTTAATGAATTTCTTCGATTTGGATTTTGTTTTGTAAATGAAGTTGCAATGCATATATAGCCCCTCGCTTTTGTTACATTGACGAAAGTCCGTTATATTACAAATGTATGTTACTTTGACTACTTACGTCAATGTAACAAAAGCGATGGTCTAAATGCATGAATTACAAGTTTATTAAAAATCAAATACCAAACCAAGAGCATTTCTAAAAGCTAGACTATATTGTCTAACTTTGTGTTAAATGATAATCCGCAAAATGACTTATACGTATGTTTAAATCGAGAAAACAAAAAACTCGTATCCAGGAAGTTCATCCATTTGTTACATTGACGTTCCGTCAAAGTAACTAGTCGTGGAACAGTGATCATTAGTTGCTAACTCATAAAGAAAGCATTGACATATAAAATGCATGGTATTACCCAAGGTATTTCTGTTACACAAAATAAACAATTTTCTGAGCTATGAACTCGTATAGATGCATTGACATGTAAAATGCATGGTATTACCCAAGGTACTTCTGTTTCACAAAATAAACAATTTTCTGAGCTATGAACTCGTATAGATGCATTGACATGTAAAATTAATGGTATTAACCATTTAACCAAGGTACTTCTGTTCCGCAAAACATTATCATGAGTATCTACCATATTCAGATACAAGGACATGGAAAATACATGGTATTTACAAGACTACATGTGTTACACAAGATACTAAGTTGCTAGCTCATTCAGATGCGTAGACATGTAAAATACATGGTATTAACCAAGGATACTTCTGTAACACAAAGGATCAATATCATAAGTTTCTATCTCATATAGATGCATTCATAAGTAAAACGCGTGACATTAATATAGGAAACATGGGCATGTAAAATGCATGGTATTAACCAAGGTACCTCTGTAACACAAAGGATCAATATCATAAGTTTCTATCTCATATAGATGCATTCATAAGTAAAACGCGTGGCATTAATATAGGAAGCATGGGCATGTAAAATGCATGGTATTAACCAAGGTACTTCTGTAACACAAAGGATAAATATCATAAGTTTCTATCTCATATAGATGCATTCATAAGTAAAACGCGTGGCATTAACCAAGGTGTCTCTTTTACACAAAAGCAAAACATTAGCTTGCTCATTCGGAAGCATGGGCATGTAAAATGCATGGTATGAACCAAGGTGTCTCTGTTACACAAAAGAAAACATTATCATGAGTTGCTTACTTATTCGGAAGCATGAGCATGTAAAATGCATGGTATGAATTAATGTGTCTCTGTTACACAAAAGAAAACATTATCACGAGTTGCTTACTTTTTCGGAAGCATGGGCATGTACTGTGCATGGTATTAACCAATGTGTCTCTGTTACACAAAAGAAAACATTATCATGAGTTGCTTACTTATTCGGAAGCATGGGCATGTAACATGCATGGTATGAACCAATGTGTCTGTTACACAAATGAAAACATTATCATGAGTTGCTTACTTATTCGGAAGCATGGGCATGTAAAATGCATGGAATGAACCAATGTGTCTCTGTTACACAAATGAAAACATTATCATGAGTTGCTTACTTATTCGGAAGCATGGGCATGTAAAATGCATGGTATTAACCAATGTGTCTCTGTTTCACAAAAAAAAACATTATCATGAGTTGCTTACTTATTCGGAAGCATGGGCATGTAAAATGCATGGTATTAACCAAGGTGTCTCTGTTACACAAAAGAAAACATTATCATGAGTTGCTTACTATTCGGAAGCATGGGCACGTAAAATGCATGGTATTAACCAAGGTGTCTCTGTTACACAAAAGAAAACATTATCATGAGTTGCTTACTTATTCGGAAGCATGGGCACGTAAAATGCATGGTATTAACCAAGGTGTCTCTGTTACACAAAAGAAAACATTATCATGAGTTGCTTACTTATTCGGAAGCATGGGCACGTAAAATGCATGGTATTAACCAAGGTGTCTCTGTTACACAAAAGAAAACATTATGATGAGTTGCTTACTTATTCGGAAGCATGGGCATGTACTATGCATGGTATTAACCAATGTGTCTCTGTTACACAAAAGAAAACATTATCATGAGTTGCTTACTTATTCGGAACCATGGGCATGTAAAATACATGTTAATTACAAGGCTACCTCTGTCACACAAAAGAACCATATACATTTGTAATTAGTTGCTAACTTATTCGGATACATGGACATGTAAAATGAATCGTGTGAACCAAAATACCCCTGTTACATACACAAAACAATATCAGGAGTTGCTTACTCGTTCAGATGTATAGACATATAAATACACATGGTGTGGACACAGTTACATCTGTGACGCAGAGGACACAACTTAAGGTTGCTCACACATTCAGACGCATGAGCATGTGAAAAGCATGGTATTAGCAATCATAATTTTTCAAAATTTTCAAGGTGGCTGCTTTGTATTAGACATTTTTTTGTTCGGTGGGATTTGCTACTCCATGGAGTGCACTGTGGAGTTGCTGTTTTATAGTTTTGTGTCAAACATATGAGTCTGCTTACAAGTCCAATCATCTGGAAATTTCCTGTTTTGGTAACTGGAAAATCTTTTTGTCTTACAGAAAAACCATTTTGAAAAATTCCATTTATGTTTGATAATGTTGAAGTAAATATCTTTGTTCTGTAATCTCTTCTGACGAAGGGGATTGTTTCGAGGAGACCTGTGATTTAAATTTACATCTAAACAGACGGCAACTTTAAGCCCGTATTTGCGTACTCTCAGAAAAAAATCTATATGTTCTTGTGTTTTTAAATTTGCATCCCAACCTCCCATCTTTAACAAATCCTCTAAGGGAGCAAGAAATGCATTCAATATTATATCTGTGACGTAACACTGGCCAAAACACGCTAATCTTTCATAATACATAGCTGAATATTGCAGAAGGTCCACCGTTTCATTAGATCTCATCGTTGATGTGTTTTGTGCTTCTGTTGGGCGAACCATTACGGCACCAAAAAAGAGGTTAGGTTTGTTTTTATGTGTTACTCCAGCGAATGATAAATCGGTATGCTCCAACAAATCAAGAAGCTTGGGAATGTTTGTCTCACTATTGAAGACCGCATCATCATCACATAAGAAAACATATTTTGTTCTTACAAACTTTAATGCAAGGTTACGACCGTAACTTATACCAGCATTCTCATGCGCCTGATGGTAGATTACATTTGATGAGTTTTTGAAGAAGTTTTTAAGCCCAGGTCTCTTTTCAAAGAACTCATTATAGTCGTCAACGACAATACATTTCACATTGGGATAGAACTTCCATACACTGCGTATTAACCGCTCGACGAGATTTAAGCGATTAGCAGTTTTAACTACAATTGTTACCAGACTTTCAATCGATGGTATAATGTATTTAGGTTGCCTATACATAACAGGTTGTCTTCCTTTATTTATCTTCTGGCAGATGCTATAGGAACAGTTGACTCCAGGATTGGGGTCTATTTTGTCATACCCTGATGTACCATTAGAACAATCAACGCAATTTTTATATCCAGATTCCACGCTGCATGTCATCGTTTTCGTCCAAATTAATTTTTCCTCGATTGGAAAGTGTTGTTTTTCCTGATGGGGGAAATCTACGGAGTCGGGCCCATTCTCCTGCTCTTTCGAATTCTTCCTTCTTGTTGAAATTCCGTTAATATTATAATTGTATATGTAAATCAAAATTGCTACAGAAAGATTTAAAATGAGAATACGTGTGTACAATTTCATGTTGATCATAGTCTTGCCCAAGTCGGTCTCTTTTACTTATTAGATGAATAGTTCTGTTTTATCCCATCGAACAAAGACTGGGAGGTGTAGGGAATTCCCCCATCTGTACGTCTGTCTTTCTGGGCAAGAACTCAAACTTATATTTCATACGACCTATATATGACTAAGCAGAAGCCTTAAGTTTGATAAATCCATTTCATGTTTAATATCTGAAGAAGGCTGTCGCTAGACCATTTGCAAGCTTTCGACGTCGCTTCTCAAAAGAGATCTTCGTCTTCAGGTAGTTTATAACTAGACTCTGCGCGCAGGGTAGTCGCTATTCCAGGTCGCTCACTATTAACCGGTTAATGTTTTGCTTAGTACTCAAGTAAGACATTTTCACTTAGAATTATTTGACTGTTGTTTTCCTAATCCTACTTTGTATAACTGTATTATTTTCCCTTTTCTCAAAAGCCAGATTCTCTATTCAAGCTTATAATTCCTTCCAAACACAATGACAAAGTATCGGGAAAATAAATTCCGTATGACATAACTGCTTGGCATATGACTGAAAATTGTGATTTTCACGCACATACATTGTTAATCAATAATTTATTAATGATTCACATCAAAGCATAACAAACATCCTAAACTATTTTTCTGTTGAAAAAATAAGAAAAGTGATTAAAAAATAAGCAAGAATTTAACTATAAGCGTAGAGAAGTAATTTAGAGAAATGAACATTTTGAAATGTTAGTTTTCATTGAATTCAATGGCACATTAATACTACATCGAGTGTATAAAACATGATAAAATCTTATTTTCAACCTAGATAGGCAAACAATATCACAATAATCCATTTTAAAAGACAAAGATAAAATATTACATCACTTTCACACCACCTCCATTCATTCAGACATTCGCAACAGTCATACCCAAAAGTTCTCGTATATATGAAAACATGGTATATATAAACACATGGTATTTTCGAATTGAGTCTCGTCCAAGTTGGGATTTACCTCATTAAATTGTTTTGCATATATATAGTACTTGATTGATTGCTAGTGATAGCATATTTAGCAAAATGTTTTCATTATTTACAGATCTTCCGAACACCATATCATGGGTATTAAAATCAAGATTTACATTTAATAATTTCTTTAAATTCTCTTTAATAGCTTTCAAATAATCTGAACCCGCCTACACTCCCAAAACTTGTGCTTTAAAGTGTCTCTTAGTGGACAGTAACTACATTTATCATCCTCTTTAATTCCTATCTGAGTTAGACTTAACTGTTTAACCATTTATAAATAACATAACAATCAAATAGAGATACTGACATACATTTTTATGATTAATTTAAGTCATACAGATAACATATTTACATAAAACAAGACTAGAATAAAATAACCTCTCATCTCATTTGAGCGGTTGAGCATGTTGCTTCCTGTTGACGAAGAGCTAGCATGTGTCTTGACGTTGACGCCGATCTTACTGTTCAGTACAAGTTGCCATAAATCCGAATTTCTGCAGCCCCAATCGACCTTTATTTGCAGGTTTATCCAGGCCGCGCATGCCTGGGAACTGAAACGCTTATGGTACTCATAGAATTTCGGGCCGGGGTAGGAGTTCTAAAGTTCTAAAATACCATGCTGGTATCTATCAAGCTCATCTCGTCTTCCTGGGAATTTTTAACACATCCCCTTTTATACTTGTCAAACGCTGTGATAGATTCGGCGATGTTAAGAGAGACTTTAAGCTTTGGGTCATTGTCCATGTTGATGGGCTTCAGACAAAGTTTTCCGTCATCATCCGTATCTAATGCTGGTGTTTTCGAAAGTTCGTAATACGGCACTAGCAAACATGCTAAGTTGACATTTTCCCGGATTGTATCGCCTTTCTTACCCCAGGTGAAATAATGTCTACAATAGGTAAAGAATTCGGGTGAATACCTTTGGAACCGAGGCCTGCTGATGATAATCCATCTCGTGGTTTAGGCTCTATCGCCGCCGAATTCTCTATTTGCTCAGCTGAGCCAGCAGCGAACGGTATACAGTATTCTGTTGGTTAACAATGGAACTCACGACGTCAGTAAGATTTTCGACCTTATTTTCAAGATCCTTGAAAATTCTTCTTTCTTCAGATATTACTGGTACGGGAGGTACGATAGGGCCAATTTCGATTTCATCCTGCTTCTCGGATGGTGTAATTCCGTCTTTAGCGTCATCATTCATAACGCTGTGGAGAGCGAAATCTTTTTCTTAATCTTTATCCCTATGTATGACGATTCTTCCTTCATATGTTCTGATGAAGGATAGGAAATACGTCGTTTCTTAGGTGGCATAATATTTGTGTTTGTGATGAATAATCAACTTTGAAAAATGTTTGAATCTCGTTGTGTCGTTCGCTACTTCGAAAAACCAGAGCCCATGGAAAAACTGAATGAATGATATCTTAAGATAGAATGGATGTTCAATTGTTTGAAACGTTGCGGAACAACTGTTCAGTGATTGACAATTACAGAGTGACAGTGTGGGCGGAGCCGAAGCTATGGCTGGCCTTACTAACATTTATTTATAAACAATGTTTACAAAGTAAACACATATTTAATGACACTGGTTTTTCACCAAATGTTAATTGCACAAGATCCGTCTGTAGGCTCGGTTCAACGACGGAAGTTAAGTATATTTAAAACATATTTGCTCGAAAAACATTTTGCAAAATATAGCAAGCCCAGCTATTTAATTTCACGAAAACGTACATATGTGGAAGCCCAACTATTCTTGGCTACCCAAGTGTTATGACTCTTGCCCAACTATTCTGACAATCCAAGTGTTCCGAGTTCTCTAATTGAAATCAGGTTTGAAATTTCACAAGAGAAGGTGTCAAATATAATTTTCTGAAAAAACGTTGGCCCCCAAAATTTTAAAAAATTGGATTCTACTCGTTTTTTTGAAAATCTGGACCTATTTTCAAAATTGAACCCTGTGTCTTCAAAAAGACAATTTTTCAAAAATTAGGCATAGTGCTAAAATAGAAACCAAACCACAACCAGATCCTCCCCCAGATAATTGCGTAGAACACCCAGCCTATTACTATAGGGCATTGGAATATTAATGGGTGGCCTACCAAAAAGACCTCAAATGTGCGTTCACAAATAATTGATCACGTGGATATGGATATACTAGCATTAAGTGAAACATACCTGAAAAATGTCGATGTAATTGATATAAATAAATATTCATGGTTTGGTCAAAATAGAGTTAATATATCAACCAGAGCTAAATATGGTTCAACAAAAATTATGATTACTCAATTATTTTATGCGTATGTTATCTTCCTCCTGAACAATCGTGTAGGGGTAACTCTGCGCAGGAATTTTATGATGCATCATAGACACAATTGTATATGTTTTCTGATAATTCTACGCAACTTGTTAGTCATCTGAGGAGACTTCATCAATTCAAGAATAGCGAATAAAGATGATTTTAACTCAAATATTGACATTTTACCTGAACGTACTTCGATTGATACTAAATCCAACAATACGGAGATTATCTGTTGGACCTTCTTAAAGATGAATGCCAATGCATTATCAATGGTCGAGTTACTCATGAACACGACAATTATACATTATATATCATTGAGGACGAGTTCTACTTTTTACAAGTATGCCCATCATATAACAATTTACGAGATGACTTATTTTTGTCTGTTAAACGTATTTTACAAAAACAAGAACTTTTATTACATGATTTTAGATTAGTGCGCAATACTCAGTACTGGAAAATTCCTGAATGCTGCTCAAAAGAGCAAGCTTCGTTTAATAATCTTATCATAATATTGTTTTCAAATGTATTGTACAATGTGCCCCATAAGCCTAAAATAGGCTGGGTATTCTATACGAGGCATTTAATTAAATAAATATACATACAGTCTGTTACATTGCTTCAAAGGCAAGCAGTTAAACCTGAAATATAAGAAATCTAAATAATATTGCGCAATAATATATAGAAAAATATATTCATATTGCACACGCATGACAATTTGTATATGTTGGATTGCTTGTAAATTGGCTCATAATGTAACTTCTTATATTTTGATGCTTCTCTACCATGTTAATTCTCAAAAAATAACATGGCGGACAAACCTCAAATTACAAGAGGGCACAGGCTTATTGCACTAAACACTAAATAATCTGAAATATAAAAATGTCATTCGTGTGCAATATGAATATATTTTTCTATATATTATGGCACAATGGTCTATAGATTTCTTATTTTTCAGGTTCACCTGCTTGCCTTTGAAGCAGTGTAACAACCTTTACATACATACAATCAAAGTCGGTTGAAAATTTAAATATGTTCACGATTTTGCTAAAAAAATGTAGGTTGTCCTATTGAACTTACATTTGTGAATTCACAGTTAACCCTAATTAGTTAACCCTAATGTAGACAACATATTTTTCATAGCACCAAGGGGCAGGGGGATCAGATTAATTTAAAACTGAAACGAAACAATCAAAGTATTACTAATTCAACTTGATTATATTGAACTATATTGAACCTCCACACTTTCCAGATATAGCATAAACGGGATTTTAAAAAGTCATCTTCGACTAGCTAGTATAGATCTCTCTGTCAACTTCTTAAGATTATTAAAATTCATAAAAGTGTATCTTATTACGTTTAAGTACAGACGAAAACATCATGCAGTTAGCTCAAATTGCATCACCCTTGCGTTGTACCTTACCCCACGCGTTCAACTGTCACACTTAATTTGGTAAACACCCTGTGAAGATTTACTTATATTGTTATTGGTTTGTACTTGAATTCTATGCAAATCAAAAAAAATTGCAATAGTTTCCCTTCTTACATAGCCTATTTATCAATTTAAATGTGAGTAGTTACTAACGGTGATGCTTAGATTCCTTAGAAGTTGAAATCAAATCACATATTACAAAAAAAGCTTTAAAAACTTTATGTGTCATGTATCCTTGGTTTATAAAAGTAGAATACTGTCTTTATGTCGCCCCCGTTTAAACAATTCAAAAATAAAAAAGCATATAAGCACGTAGGTTTTACAGAAAACGTGTTGTCTTTCATATATATATAGTTTAGAAACAACGTACCAGTGAAGCAATTGCACGGTCTGACTTGGGTTACTGGTGTGTCAGACATAAATCCTCTCTGAAACCTGCCCCGTCTATTAGTGTTTTGACAATGAGCCCTGGCTACAAGAATGACTATTTATCTAAGTTCAGCTACATGTGTGTGTATAAATACTATACTAGTGATACAACATGACCTTTAATTAAACATTTCCCTCTTCTCAGAATCGGAAACAGTACTACCATATAAGGCAGTTTATTCGCTTAGCAAACTTTCTATTGATCGAGTAGTGAAAAGAATAATAAAGCAGAAAATGAGTCAATATTAAAAAAATGTAAATTCTGAAAAACCAACTCGATCGCACATAACTTTAATATACTAACTAACACTCTTCTGGGAGCTCAATTTATTTAATATGCAATTGCTGTAAGGACGACGATTAGTGAAGAATATTGGCAACAAAAAGACAAAAATGCTAGGATTGAAAACCCGTTAAACTTTGCTCAAATGATAACTAAAAGTAAACCAATTTTTCATTCTAAACGGCGATAATCTCACTGTTTTTTCTCTTTTTAATGGCCGCAAATGCAAATATTTGAAATAATGCATGGTGCTAAATACCAAAATATAAATAAAATATGATTTTTTTCTTTCATATTCTCTGTTGGTCAAAAGGTCGCTTCTTGTTTTCATTTCCTTCATGTTTCCATGTGTTGCCATATTTACGATAAACCAATGCTGAGTCTTATACATTTATTTGGACACCTTATATCTGTAGAAAATTTACGATTTCTTGAAATGAGAAACTTATCTCCTATAATTCGGGAACAAGTGGTTACAGGTGTTACAACTCAATTACAGGTGCATAATGAGATAAAACATTGAATAAAACTTAATCATAGTGTTACTTTGACATTTAACAAAGAAGTAACATAACCAGAATACGATCAGGGACACTTCCATTAAAAATAGAAACAGGGAGATACAGTGCCACACCCCCTGCGGATAGGACTTGTTCTTGTTCAAATGAGTCTATTGAAGACGAGCAAAACTTTCTAATTGACTGTCCCTAATGCCTGGATCACATATGCTCCGATCCATCGGCCGGCGCCCGGCCGATTGAGTGTTTTGTTCAATATTGTATTCAATTTTGAACAAAATACTCAATCGGCCGGGCGCCGTAGTGAAAATCGGAGCAAATGTGACCAAGGCATTACATGAAACATTACGTTTTAACCTTTTTCAAAGAGCTAGAGATACAATTCCTGACTTTGAAAACCTTTCATTATTAAGGAAATACTTTAATATAATGTGCACCCCCTCATTGCAACGCATACTAGCAAAGACAATTTGTATCATGATGACAAATAGACTCTTATAATTTAAAATTATTCTTCAATGCTATGAAATTGAAATGTTATAAGTCTCTCATAAGCCGGTGACGGCTGGGCTGTTTGTTTTATCATTACTTAAGTGCAAAACATGTTATATTTTAATTGTATTTATTGTATGTGATATATTTTACAGCGTGAGACTCTGATAAATATTTAACTAACTAACGTTTAGATAAAGTATACGACAAAATCGATTACGACAAGTTTAGGGAATAATCCAGAATGTAGGTTTTAAACTTTTCCTGTATAGTTGTATCATCGTAAATTAGAAATTTCAGAAATTGACCCCCGTTTCTCAAAAAGTTATTAATTATGCGTCAAAATTCAAGAAAAAATACAATCAAATTTAACTTTAACAAATATAAATGCAGAAGACATTAATAAAACCACATTTCACATATCTAAGCGTGTGTCCCAAAGGGCATTTATCATGACTCATCTTATGTCACGATGGTCTAAATTGATTTATGTAAATAAAAATAACGGTAGAGATACATTAAAATTCTAAAATAAACATACCCCTCTAGTTTACCTCCAAGATGCCAACAACTGTGTGAGAAGGAGTTTAGTGAAGTGAAGGGCGGGGGGGGGCTTTTTTAAAATGGACATTTTGTTGGGGGTATTGGTAAATATGCGAGTTGCATATGCAATACTTATCAAAAAACGCAACAAAAAGTGTACTTTGTACCATGAGGCCACTTTTCTCCTGAATTCAACGATATGTCATTTATGCCACTGGCGGATCCAGAAGCTAACATTTCAGATCAGAAAAAATGTTTACAATTTAGGACCCAGTTTTGGCAATACGGCCGAAGATAAGGTCCAAATGTCCAAGTTATGCCCGAAAAGGCTCACTAATGGAGGCCCTACAAGATTTTTGGGCCCACAAAAATATCCCCCCCCCCCTGGATCCGTCAGTGATAACGATTCCTTTTTAGTGGGTCGAATTCGGTTTGGGACCACGTTTTAGCCATTGCAAAAGTTTCAAAATCATTACAATGTTGGCATAATAGATCTGCGAAAAATAAACACTTGAGTTGCTGGGAAGGAGATCAATGGTTGTTGAAAATTACCGCTTCTAACATCGTTTACGATATTTGTTTATATCAACGTTACGACTGCACTCGAATAATTATTATGAATTTTCAACTAGCGTATTTGAGGTGACCTAATTACTCAGGTGACAATTCCCCATTCATTTACTCTCGTACAGTAAGTGGGTCGTCCTCAATACTTCGTTCGAGAAGCGTAGATACCATATATATATATAACAGCGATCATAGTGAGCGAGTTTTGCGTTTACTAATCGCTGTCATCTTCCGCATTGTTTTGCCACCAAAAGGGTGACGATTTTTGGACCGCAATCGAAGATGGCCGAAGATAACCGAAGATAGCCGAAGATAACCCTCACACTAACTCAACCCTATTTGCTCGGTCAACTTCGGTAACATTTCATCGGTGCTCTCCAAGACTGAAACTGATCCAGTAGCAATCACCCAGACCGAGAACAATTATGTTTCTTAGTTACGTTTACTCAAATTCATTTCAGTCAAAGCACTAATTTCCTAATCTACAGTAAAACCTGTCTAATCCGAATGGCACTTCGACAAACGAAGTGTTCAGATGATGTAGTCAAATAGACTTTCAGATGAATCCTGGTCTATTTATATTGTGGGTAGATATTATGATGTAGTCAAATAGACCTTTCAGATGAATCCTGGTCTATTTATATTGTGGGTACATATTATGATGTAGTCAAATAGACCTTTCAGATGAATCCTGGTCTTTTCATATTGGGTAGATATAATGATGTAGTCAAATAGACATTTCAAATGAATCCTGGTCTATTAATATTGGGTAGATATTATGATGTAGTCAAATAGACCTTTCAGATGAATCCTGGTCTTTTCATATTGGGTAGATATTATGATGTAGTCAAATAGACCTTTCAGATGAACCCTGGTCTTTTCATATTGGGTAGATATTATGATGTAGTCAAATAGACAATTCAAATGAATCCCGGTCTATTCATATTGGGTAGATATTATGATGTAGTCAAATAGACCTTTCAGATGAATCCTGGTCTATTTATATTGGGTAAATATTATGATGTAGTCAAATAGACATTTCAAATGAATCCTGGTCTTTTCATATTGGGTAGATATAATGATGTAGTCAAATAGACATTTCAAATGAATCCTGGTCTATTAATATTGGGTACATATTATGATGTTGTCAAATAGTCCTTCCAGATAAATCGTGGTCTATTCACATCTGATAGATATCATGACATCTTACTTCACAGGTAGCAATGTTTGTGTACAACAATTGTAAGAAAAGAAAAGTTAAAATCAACAATAAGTTTAATAATCCTATGTATTTGTGGTCTAAAACTGAAGGAATTACATTTTAGCCGACCAATTGATGGCGTCATTTATGGATTGGTCTATTGTAAGCATTCTCATGAATTTCTTTTTATAAAAAGTCTTGTGAAGCACAGTAGTGTCTATAAAAAATCTGACTTTCAGATTATCCACTGTACTGCAGATAGCTCTTCAGATTATGAGCAATAGATAATTGTTCAGCATTTGAATAACTGCTCAGTATGCTATGCTATATTTTTGACTAGTCCACTTGTACAATGTCTGCCAGTCTGTATCACAGCTTAGGATGAAAAACTATATCCATTAATTCAAGCTAATTTTCAGTGATGTCATAAAGTTTCCATCCTGAAAGTAAAAATCAATTATTTATTGAGAAAATATTTCTAAAGCAAATAGATTTAGAAGAAACGGTTAGTATAATAAGACAATACAATCCAATACAATATATGCCTTATACAATACAAAATAGGATAATAGTTATAGTTAGGTAAGAATAATTATGGTATGATCTATTCACTATGTAAGACAAATTAGAAAGATTCCTTCTACTTCCTCTCAAGTTTTATTCTTGCGAATGGTACCTCATGCATACAGGGTGGGCCACTAGAGTATTACTTAATAAAAATGAATGTTTTAGCACACCCTGTATGTCAGGACAATATATTTTGAATAGGAACTAAAATATTATCGAAGTGTTGACAAGGAAATGATTTGACAAGAAAATAAAGAAATGATTCAAGAATAGACAAGGAAATGATTAAAGGGTTGACAAGGAAATGATTCATGGGCTGAAAAAGGAAATGATTAAGGGTTGAAAAAGAAACGATTCAAGGGTTGAAGAAGCAATGATTCAAGGGTTGACAAGGATACAATTTTAGGGTCGACAATGATATGATTTTAGAGTGGTACAGTACTAACTTCTGTTCATTTTTCTCTATGATTTTCTTCAATTCATCTAAATTTGGTAGCCATCCTAGAAACTGCAATACTTTCACATATCGTTCTACCATCCAAGTTCGTAATTTCTCAGATCTAAACAAAAGAGAGACAATATGGCATGTATGTTAACAAAATTAAGCAAAAAAATTGTCTGTACCTTACTCCGTTCAAAATGTGAATGAAGATTGTATAGCTTTAGTATTTGGAAAAGAACTACATATCTATAACTTAATTTTATTTACAGCCCCTATTACCCCCTACTGTAAAGAAAAGTGATGTAGTGCTTCAATATATTTACAGGGTGGTTCAAAAAAATCGGAACATTTGTTAATTGAATGCAAAACCTTTATTTTTCCTCTAAAATACACCAAAATTTCACTGAGCATAGTTCAGTCTCTTATTTATCTGATGTAAAGTTTATAGGTGCAAACCACAAAGTTGATGCAGTAAACTAGTCAATGTTTCATAGGCCCCCTTTTCTTAAATATACACTTGTCAATTCCGCTGCTACTTTTCAAGTATTCTTTGTTTCAAAGCTTTAATGAGCATGCTGATTGCTATAAACATTTTATAATGGTATTTACATCTATGGTTTACGAGAAAACTATTGTGTTGATGCAGACTTAAAGAATACCTAAAATTAATACTTTTATTTAAGAGTATGCGAGAAGGAACATGTCATAGGTGAGCGATTGTATAACCCACTACTAAAGTGACAAAATCATTGTTTCCACTTTTCAGTAAAGAGAAAACTGACCAGTTATTTACAATCATTTATCATAGACCAACTCTAAGTACATAAAATATATCATTTGTGTTCTGGGAGACTTCTTTATGATATTAATATACATATATTGATATATTCAATGAAGATAATTCATATTAGAACAATAAAGGGGAGGGGGGTCTTCATTTACCAGTTAAAACAGACTCTGCCCTGACCTATTTCTGGAGAATATTCAATCAGTAATACACCCAACAATAGCCATCAAAATAGGCTTGATACCAATCAAATTGGGTAAAGAAATGTTGAATATGTTACTAGATTTGATCTTCCAAGGCAAACATATAAGAAGTTTGGTCATGCTGAATTTTTAATCAAGATAGCTTGGACAAAAACAAACGAACCGCTAACTGACTGAATGATTTCAAAACTGAGTGCCAGGCTTGAAGTTGTAATTCAGGAGAAGAGGGGTCATATCAAACATTGTCTAGCTTGATTCATTAACTTTGTTGTTTGCACCTATAAACTTTCCATCAGATAAATAAGTGACTGAACAATACTCTGAAAAATCTTGGTGCATTTTAGAGGAAAAATAACGATTTTGAGCTAAAGATCAAATGTTCCAATTTTTTGGACCACTTTGTAAATGTTACTTTATAACAAACATACTGTAGTCTGTATTCAAAGACAAGTCTCTCCCAGGATGATTGTACTTTGCTTATTAAACCTGTGTGCCTCTCTTCCTTATAAGCCCCAGCAATTGCACTGCAAAGGAACAAAGGCAATGTTTTTAGAATCAATATTTATACCGTGTAACAATGCGCCTCAAAATTTGAAGTAAAGTGTACCCTATACCTCGATATTGCAGATTATCTGTTGTCTAAATATTCTGTTTTCTCTGTGCCTTGATATCATGTGTTAGCCTGAGTTTTCGGATATTGTTCGTTACTTTGTACCTTGATATAAGAAATGTTATTGTTTCTCTTTATTCATTTTGTTTATGTGATTTCTATTTTAAGTATATTGTTTGTAACATCTCCCATTATTTTTGCCAATTCTTACATTTCATACTCTTCGCTTCTGTACTCTCTTATGTCTGGGTCACATTTTCTATGATTAATCAGCCGGTGCCAGCCCGACTGAGTATTTTGTTCAAAACTGTATAGAAATCGAAACAAAATACTAACCAGCTGGGTGCTGCCCAATGAATCAGAGCGATTTTGACTCAGGCATGAGTCATACAACTGCTTTGCCTCTGAGAAGCTACTCTGATTTGTTACTCTCAAGATTTCATAAAAAAACTCATAATAGGGTTTTAACCTCTTGAATCCCAGGCTCAAAAATTGGTTGAAACCAGAGAATTTTTCATTTTTGCCACCTTTTGACATTGAACTACATGCCTATACAACTTTAGATGCTCAACTTAGTAAAATTAGATGGCAGAGATCATTTCTACACATCTTTAAACTATTTTTGGGTAAGTCTGGGTTTCAAGATCATTTCTTAGGTGATGAGAAATATCGTCACTCCAGGTAGTCAAGAGGTTAATTAGAGACAATATGAGGTTAAGTTGACCAAGACACATACCTTTTACCCTCTAGCCATGATGGTGTATCTATCTACATGGTGTCCCAAATTATTGACTACGTACCTTCTAGCCATGATGGTGTATCTATCTACAGGGTGTCCCAAATTATTGACTACATACCTTCTAGCCATGATGGTGTATCTTTCTAAAGGGTGTCCCAAAATATTGACTACATACCTTCTAGCCATGATGGTGTATCTATCTACAGGGTGTCCGAAATTATTGACTACATACCTTCTAGCCATGATGGTGTATCTATCTACAGGGTGTCCCAAATTATTGACTACATACCTTCTAGCCATGATGGTGTATCTATCTACAGGGTGTCCAAAATTATTGACTACATACCTTCTAGCCATGTTGATGTATCTTTCTACAGGGTGTCCAAAATTATTGACTACATACCTTCTAGCCATGATGGTGTATCTATCTACAGGGTGCCCCAAATTATTAACTACATACCTTCTAGCCATGATGGTGTATCTATCTACAGGGTGTCCCAAATTATTGACTACATACCTTCTAGCCATGATGGTGTATCTATCTACAGGGTGGCCATGGATTCTGTTGATGGCTCGTATTGTGTTGAGGTTCCTAAAAATGAAATTAAACTTGAAAAAAGTATCTTCATTAAAACTAACCTTGATGACTGAATACTTTATCTTTTATTAAATAATTTTTTATAACATTTAACAATTGAATCCAACACTATAACAATATAAAGAATAAAGCAAATAAAATTTATCGTATATGTACATTTGATGTAATTTTATTCTTAAATATGTATAACTTTGTTGATTTTTAAATCTTATTTATTCTGTAAGTTAAATACAAGGCATTAACATGCCAAATGTCACCACCTGCCATTTGTTACAGACACCAAATGGTGAACACTAACCGCTAACTTTTGAACATAATCTAAACAACATCCACAAAAAAGTTGTAGACTATAACAATATGTCACCACTTGTGGTGGTGACATATGTCACAACTTGTGGTGGTTACATATGTCACAACTTGTGGTGGTGACATAACATTATTATTTAAGGTGGAGCATATTGAACACTTTTCATTGGTCAGTATCAGAAGGTAATGGCCACTACATTCTCTTTCAAAATAGCGAACAATAAGTTGATTTTGATATTTCTAGGTTTTGACATGTAATACACACATGATAAACGAAATATTTATCAGACTGAGGAGTTTCTGTGTCACATAAGCAAAAACTGATCAAAATGGTCAACATCTTAAAGCCAAGTGTTCATGGCAACTAAGCTAGTTTAATTTGATGTAAATATTAACACTTACTGTTTGGCATTTTGAAAAAGATAACAGCCATACCTTTTACCTGATATTGACCAGTGAGTATAATTCTGACAGATACAGGAGACAAGAACACGTAGAAAAAACACAACGTCCATAACATTCCCTTCTTCCAGCTTAGACAGGCAGGGATGTGGAGTCAAGCACTTTTTACCACTGAGAGCAATTAAAAAGGCAAAGCAAAACCCCCTCCCACTTCTCCCCATCAGTAAAGCTTTGATAATGGGACTTTATTTAAAAGGACAATTGCCTATTGTCAAGGTCAACTAAATTACACCCCCAAAATGCAATCTGATTTTCAACGCCGTTTTGGTGCCAAATTTCGGTGCTGTTTCGACACCAAATGGACTGACTAGTCCGGTGTCAAATTTTAGTGCGAAATGTTTCGGTGCTGGAACCTTGCCAAACCGGTGCCGGAACAGCGCTGAATTTTTGATGCCCAAACGACGCCGAATTATATTGGCTGTGTAGTCTCAACGCTCTACGAGCAGACGAGGAGCATCTGTCAAGGTTGTTACAAAGCAATAAAATAACATTTTCATTTATGCAAGCTATTTTTCTAAGTATGACCACTTTCAAGCCACTATTGTCTGTTCATGAGCAATAAACCCTCAATAAATTCATGTACATTTTAATCCATTATCCCTATACAGTGGTTCTCTTATAGCAGGCGAAACATAAGAGAAAAAAATTATTGATGAAGACAAAATTATTGCTGAATTAAAAGTTAATCGTGAAAACATTTGAAAAATTCCTAAAAACAATAATTGATTTTGGTAAAATTAACCAAAGAACATCACTGCTTATGAAACCCTTCTTGGATTAAAATCATTTTTGAAACATACACTGTCCATGCATTAAACTGAGGGATGTTCTCTGTTTATATGGTATTGATTATCTGACATTTATACATTATTGAAGCATAAAATGATTTTACAATTGATTTAGTTAAGAAAAGCAAAGTAGACATGATTATTCACAAAATACATAATTCACTGTTATTGTTGCCTGCTTCATTTATTTAATATTTTCTTGTCTTTTTGTGATTCAGGTCATACAGCACCAAAATAAAGTAGTCACATTTAAATTGTATTTCAGTTTAAATGTATTCATTAATAAAGAATCTGATACTTAATGAAAAGGATGTAACATTCTTAACAAATCTAATTGACAATAACAATAACATAAAGCAATTGCAAATGAACAATGAACATGTAATACAGAAATCTTGTAAATATATTTTTGCAGGCAGGGAACCACCCTTCTACACCCATTTATAAGAATCCCAACATGGTGCCCCATGCCACCCTTTCATGCCCATTTATAACAACTCAAACAAGGTGTCACCCTGCCATATCCATGTACACTTTAATCTCTAATGACATCCCAAAGTAAAAGCAACTTCTACTTATACTGAAACAATAGTTAAGCATCCCACTTACCATATAACAACATAAACAAAAGCTTTACAAAATGCTTAACCAATCAAAAGCAAGATAGATGTCACATGACTGTGTTTAACCAATCAAAAGCAAGATGGATATCACATGATTGTGCTTGGCTCCACCTACCTGATCATAAGGAGCATAGGACGTGGCATTTCTTTTAACACAATCATTATTTTGTCAAATCTTTGTGCTGCCATTTTGGCCATGTATTCAAGATCTTCTTCTGTCATACGACTAGGGAGATGAAATGATGTTCGTGCTATAGGTCTTTGGACTAGGATTTCACAGAACACAAAAAAGTCTGGAAAACAAAAGGATTGGTTTGTTTGCTTGTTTGTTTAAATTGAATGCTTGTTTGTTTGATTTTTTAGATATTTCGTGGGGTCATGTAATGATGTTGTCTGCTTGAGGAGAAGCCTTGTAGCTGTCAGCCAACCTTCTGTTTTAAAAGGAAAAATAGTCCAAGAGGAGTAATATTTGAATAAAGGTTTAGGGTTCTTTTTTTCGGGTCAACTAATCAAACATGCCAAGGGCAAACCGAGGATCTAAAAATGGTGCAAGCAAAAATGATTACTGTACTTCCATTTCATTTGGCCCTACTTCTTTTTACGGATTTGCTGTTTTGAACATTTCGTGGCTACTTAATTTGGTGGACTTGCAATATAACAATGTGCTAATGGTACTAAAACCTTGGGACTTTGGCGGATACTGAATTTGGCCCACTTTAACAATTTGGCAGATGTTCCAAATTAAAACAGCCGCCAAATTAAGTAGAAGTACAGTATACAGAAATATCAGGCCCTTCCTGCAGAGAAATGAAAAAGTATGAGGAAAGAGAATAGGAAACAAGACATAACACCAAGCACCCAGAGAAGGGAAATGTAAAATGAAAATAATTGTTAAAGTCACATGCTGAATTCTAAAATATTAGATAACTACTGTAGTGCTGAAATGGAACAAGCAGTCTATAAACATCACTAAACGAAAAACCAAAGAACCAGGTTTTATATGGCAAATGATTTTAGATTAAAATTACTCGTCAAAATAAAAGTTTTCCTTCAATTAAAGTCCATGAAAGTTTTTCGAAGAAATGGATGAACTCTCCCTTTTTGGTCCTATATGTTTTTTGCCATCCTCACTCTCAGTATGGGAAGTATCTATACTGAGAGCGAGGACGGCAAAAAACGTAAAGGAACAAAAAGGACTTGATACAACTTCCTGTGAGAATAAGTTTTCTACATGAAAAATAACATGAGATAGATTTGATATAGTTGAGATAATTGAGATAGTTTTTTACCTAATCTCATCTAAAAGAAGTTTCCCCTTTCAGAAGTTACTAACATAGTACAAAAAACTTTTGATGTGGTAAAACCGAGAAAAGCAAGGTCCAGTCAAAGGAAGGTTGGCTCCCAAGGTTCCTTCTCAATACTCTACCTAATATGGAGTCATGACGTGATTACAAAATTCAAAATCAAACAGCTGCCATTCTTTCACTTCAGAATTTGAACTGGCATCTTGGTCTTATTTCTAAACTGAAAGTTCTAAACACACAAGAAATGATCTGGTCCAAATCTTTTGGATCGCTGATTATGAATTTATAGTATAATAGGATTTTATTAGTACTGATGCCCTTTTAGGGCCAAACGTACATCCGACATACAATTTTCAATAACAGAGGATTACATTCTTCAAATGACATATAAAATGTTACTTTGATATAAGAATCCTGTCTCTACCAATCATACAAAATATTGGGAAGAATACCTTTGGTAGTTGATATTATAAAAAGACAAATTAAATACCTCGGTCATTTAGAGTCAATCAAGGTCAAGGTCACTAGTCAAGGTCACTAGTCAAGGTCACTAGAAGATTGGACACTCTCCTTGCAAAACATTCAAGCAAAATTTGCCATAGAAAACAGCAATGAACAAATTGCTTTGAGATTAAAAATATTGAGTTGGATTATACCCTGGCAGCCAATCCTCCATGGTCCAATCTTTCCAGAAAGTAAGTCTGACATTTTGAAAAGTATGTCGAGATGGGGTCCGAAACAATAGTTCTTCAGAGTTGGATTATATTTTTGACATTCTGATCTCTAAGCTGAAGACAACATGTTTCATGAAAAATGCTGTATTTATGGTATGATCAAAGTCATGGTCAAAGATATGTCCGTTTTAAATCATTTGCCATACCATACCATACACGGTGTTTCCCTCAATGTAATTTAAATATGTCCAGACATTTCTAGACAATTAGACAGTTGATTTAAATTCCTCGTTGAAGTTAGCCCACCTCATTTCAGTAAAGAGGCTGTGGTTTATATTTACAAACCTAAATATCCACATCAGGGAGCTAGGCATGTTTTTCATGACTCTTAAAACCCCATCATGAATATCAACAAATTCTTGTCTTAGAGTCTCCTTTTCTTTTTCAGACATTGCTTTCCACTCCTGACGACTTAAAGGTTTCATCCTAAAAGGTACCTTGCTTTTTAGAGGTATCGGACGCTGGACAATCATAAGGCAAAATAGAAGCCAATCTAAAATTGAAACGTAAATTTCTGAATTGGTAGATTTTCATCAGAGTTCTGAAAAAGGAGGGAGGGAGGGAGAGAAATTTTAAACTGCTTACACTCTTTGGTCTTCCTCCCTCTTTTTCAGACTAAAACAAGGCCACAATGCCATCAAAAAGAGGGAGAAAGGCAAAGTAAAGTGAAAGCAAGGCACAGCTTTATATGCAAGTCTTACATCAATTCAATCCCCCCCATCACCTCTCTTCTACACATACAATGCGAGTTATCTTTTACTTTAGAGAAAGGGGAGGGGGTAAACTGATGGAATCAAGCATCAGCATTTCCTATCTACCTGCATTCCTTACCGAAAAATCAGAAGTAGACCTTTTGGCATAGATTTTGTTATTTTGATCATTTTATCACTAATTTCATCAGCAAATTTTCTAAATTCTGCCCGTACAGCTGATTTTTCCTCAGGGGGTAGGGCTTTCCATTCTTCTGCCGTGTAACGCCGGAGTCTTTTACTGCGAGGGGGCTGGGATTTTAATCGAAAGGGTTTCTGAATGGTCATCATGCAGAATATATGCCAGTCTAAATGAAATAGGTTGATGCCTGTTTAAAATGCCATTTTGGGGATTAAATTCACAATTTTTAAATGTTCATAGCTCGAAATGCTACAATAAAGCACACATGATCCATGATTATAGACTTGAACATGAAAATGGTGGTATACTAAGCACAAATACAATTATATTGGACAATATATTCACAAAGATTTTCAATATTTCTTTGGTAGTTGCCAGAATTTTGTAAATAGGGACGCAAAATAAATGTTTTCTTGAACCACAAAATGTTTTCTGATTCAGTTCATAAGAGTAAAGCAATTTCATTTTAAATGAAATAAAAGAATAAGACCATTAAGGAAAACTACCTAAAAATGTATTTTCAGGTATTGCCCAGAAAATTCCTGTAAAAAATGTTGCTTTTGTGCTCTTAATTTTTTCAAAAATTGTGATTTCAGTTTTCAAGTTCATATTTTTTGAATGATGTCGCACTTTGTGCTTGTTCACTGATGGTTTCATTTAAAAATTATCATATTTCTTAATAAAACAAATGTTTAAAATACAGATATTTAACAAGTTTAAAGTCCCATTATATAGTCACTTTTTGGGAGGAAGTTGAAATACCTGATTCACACATTGCTAGGCAAGGTGTGTCTGATTCCAGCCAATCCGAAAACAGTATTTCACATGACAGCAGTGCATGAAGTAATCAATGACACACTCATGGTAACTAGTAAACAGTTATCATGGTAATGAATGGACTTTTCACATTTGATTTGATGACTTGCCAACTTGACCCTTGCAAAAACTTTCATTGAAAATGTGTTCTTTTAGTGATTTCGTTCCTGTTAGATGATTTTGTAGAAAATATTTTGAAATGTGTGAAAATAATTTAAGCCCAAGACTCAATGCATTGTAGCTGCTTCATTCCCCTCAGGCATTGTTTTCTAAACTTTGCATTCCAGCTACGCAGTCATGCAAAGATTTGGAAACAACAGCTTCATGGTATGATTCAGCAAACAATGCACAAAGTCCAGGGCTTAAATCCTTCAATATTTATATAAATATTTTTAATATATTTATATAAGAAATCCTTTCATTAAAATATCATCTATCACAGAATTTTCATTTGTTATTTGAATTTGTTACAAATTAATAAATACTAATAAAAATCTCTGCAATCAAAAGTTACAGAGGCATGGATATATTTGACTTTGACTAGCCTTAACAATAAGTGTAAATATAGCATTAATAATCTGGCATGTACTGTACCTTCAACTCCAAGGTCATTAGCAAATAGTTTCATGTTGTCTTCGTCCCTGAGTATAATAGCCTTATATAGTCTACATAGCGCCACTCTGTCATGTTGTCGTAAGTAGTCATAGAGACCGTGGTCCAGTAGCACCAGTTGAGCAGTACCATCATTGTCTTTACAGATAAATACTACAATAATAGCATATGTTATGTTATTTATTTGTTTCCAACAATAAGAGTAAGAAATACATATTAAAATCCACATAGTTTGAAAATTAAATAATATCTCCACACCACCAACAAGATATAAAATCAACTGAGGTCACCATATTAATACATACTTATAAAAGCTAAATAAAAACCTTACACTGGTTTATATGATTCAGATATATCAGAATAAATGTGATGCTGAAATATTGACGATGAAAATGGCACCATATTGTTGGCTTGCATGGGAATGATAGCAATTTTTACAAAATGAAGCAAAAGTAGAAGCTTGGACTGATGGTGTAAATTACGAGCATTTTAATGGCTCCCATAAAATGAAGAATCGCCAAAATTGTTGATGGATGGATAGAGGGAAGAATAAATGATACGACTCTGATGGAATGATGGACAGACAGACGAGTGGTAGATTACAGTAGCTAAAACAGGTGCACTTTTCAAAAACATTTTTGAACTAAAATTTCAGAAATTAAATGCAGCTCTTTTTCATATAATGGCTTAAAATTGTATAAAACAATTGATGTAATGAACAAAACAAAGTTCGAGTTATTTTAGAAATATGCCCTCCCGATTGTGAAAAGTGACTTACTGTTCCCTGGATGTGGATCCGCATGCACAAACCCTGTGTGAAATATTTGATGAGAAAAACACTGGACTAACTTTTCATCAATCTGCAAGAAAAATATTGCATTTTGAAAAAAATCTACCGACTTTTATTTTACTATTATCAACAATGGATAAATTAAATCAATAATCGTAATCACACACCATTAACCTCGTTCCTATTTTGAGTTTTTTAAAATAAAATTTAAGTAAAACTGCACGAACTCTAAAATGAGAATTCTTCGACTGTTATTGTAATTTATTTATATTTATATTTCAAATGACTCCAAAATCCCAATTTAGAACTAAAAATACAACATCAACCAATCAAAATTAAAATATGAAAAAACAAAAAGCCCATCAGGTTATTCATGACTCTTTATGCTAATATCAGTACTTACATCACTCAATGAAAGACCCATTTCTTTGATGGCTTCTTTGTTGCTAATTTTACAGCCGTCTATAAACTCAGTGGTTAAAACCCTCTGAAATTATTAAATTAATATGGTTTAAACTGGGGATCCTACATTATTGTATGCCTTTTATCGATTTTGCACTATAAACTTTTTCAATGTGTTTTTACAACCCAGATCTAGAGTGAACTGGTCAAAACCCATTGTCAGTCATAAGACAAGATAGAATAAATTTATTTTCTGTTCAGATTTCCCTAATCATTCCTCCATTTTTGCTGAATTTAAGGGAAAAGCCAAAATAATATTTGAATTTGATTTTTTTCCTGAGCGAATGACTTCTTCTTGTTTAGACAGTGTACTTCCATGTTTGATATATAATTTCCAGTCGTTTGACAATTCTATTTGTCTGTTTTGCCTGATGTCATCAATCTAGTGAAACACTTGAAATAGGCCCCTGTATAAATCATGGACCCATATAAGGCCAAAATCTGAGATTCTGTGGACTGATCTACACATAAGATTGTTGCTAACATAATATAGATGTTTTCTATTCACATTTCAACCCTTCCGAACACACTGGTGACAAAATATGCACAAAATGACCTGAAAAAATTGGCCTGAAAATTGACAGCCGAAGGGTATGTTTTATCCATTTCCATGGCAACCACTTAACCATGTGACTTGACATTTTTATCATCTATTAATGTAGCCCATACCAATATACCATAGCAATTTGAAAACATTCCACTGAGTATATTTTGAGTTCTTGCCTAATTTTATAGTAGGGGTCCAAATTATAGCCCATGGGGGTTAAAATGGCCACAAAATCTAAAAGCTGAATAACTAGGATCTAATAATTCATACAAATATGTGAAATCATACTAGTAACATGAAAAATTATGTCCCGTAAAATCCCTCTGAACGCACACATTTAGGCTCATTCTGACTGAACTATTGCTAATGATATGTACCATTCAAGTAAAATTGAACAAGACACAGAGTGATAAATATGGCATTTTGAAGGGCAAAGTGACCACCACACTATTTACCCAGCATGCCCAAAACCTAATCAGATCTTGGCACAAGTCTGCTCTTGCATCTGCAAAATGGAAATCTGGAATTTTGATGACAAGTGTTGTGTGGCAAAATCCACACTCACACACACACACAGAATCATGTCCATCATCACACTATGATGACAATTCAGTGCTTTTTCAATAAAAATTTCTGAACTAACCTTGCTAGTTTTATCCCAATATATTTTTGGTACATAAATATATTTAAAGTGTTTAAGGTCCTCCGCACATCTCTCTCCATTTTTCCCTTCATTGATAAAATCTAACTCCATTGCTAGAGTACCTTTAAGATCCTGAAACAAAACACCGATTTAATGAACCTGACTGTTTTTGGTTTGAGGAATATATATTATTTCATACTCCAGTTCAACTGTTCATCATTTTGTACTATTTTTTATTAACAGTTTAATAAAGTAATTGATTTACTAACATTTCTATATACTTAAGAAAGTTAACTTGAAGTCTGTGTAATTTACCCCTTACTAGTTCCTCTCTTTTGCACTGTATTTTGTGTTTAAAATCACATACCTCTTGATGATTTTTTACGAGCAGAGGACATCAAAGGCCTCAGTTTGTCAGAATGTCAAAAAATTAACTAGGCATTAACATGCAAAATGTCACCACCTGTCATTTTTTACAGACGGCAAATTCCAAACGCTGACTGTTGGAGACTGTCCAAAAAAAGGTGAAGACTTTAACAAGAACTGAATAAGTGGACAGACATTGAGGAATTGAACAATTCTTACCTTGAGTACCCATCTAAATGCAAACTTTGGGTGCATCCAGCCTATAAGATCCAGTAGTATCTCACATGTACGAATATCTCCAGCAAATCTGTCTCTCAAGTCAATATATTGGACCTAGAAATACATTGTACCTGAATAATATATTTCAAATAAACATGATTTTATTAATATTTATAATAGAAAAATTAAGTTTGAAGATTATTCAATGCTTGTGACATTTCTAGCAATCTGACATTATGTGACGTAACACCACAAGATAAAGAGTGATATATAAAACTCTGACACCACTGTATCACATGCTTTAATATCTACGCCATCATTTTCTGTTAAAGATACATTAAAAAATCACATGCCGAATGCACACACACACACAGAATATCGTTGAAGAAAAACTTAATTGGCATATTCTCACTAATTCTGAGAATTTTACATTCACTAGAGAAACATTATGAATAATACGAATAGAATACTATTCAACCATCAATGTCATACCTTCACTGCAACTTGTTCCCCCTCATGCGTCTCAGCTCTATGGACTTGTGCAAGACTGGCTGCAGCTATTGGAGTCTCTTCAAAACTTTTAAACATTTCATTTGGGCTCTTGCCAAAGTCTTCTTGGAATAATTGTTCAACCTGGAATAATACCAACCTGAACTTCATACTGGAAATACTTCATACTGAAAATACTTCAAACTGGAAAGACTTAATACTGGAAATGCTTCATACTGGAAATACTTCATACTGTAAATGCTTGAAATGGAATGCTTCATACTGGAAATGCTTCATACCAGAAATACTTCATACTGGTTATTCTTCATACTGGATATGGATGCATTTAGAAAAACATATAAGTTGCTTTTGTTCATTTTGTCGAATCCGAATTTTATTTGAAGAGAAATTTTGAAATTGTTCTTGTATGGAAACCTTGCAAAATTGCAATGCAAATATAAGTCACTATTTTGGCAACCAAAATACAAGGTTTAAAGAAGTAGTAAAGCAAAATACTTTCTATATCTAGTAATGCATTATAGACCACTGATTTCAGTAAATGCTATTTGCTGAGTTTTAAGATAATTTTAAAACATACAATAATAAAATTTACCCTGGCCTGCCATTTTGACTTTAAAGTTTCCAAGATGGCTGTCAACTAGAGGTGTCAAGTATTAACCGGTTAACCGCCGATAATGCCTTGACCGGTCTGTGTTTTTATGGGTGGTTAGTTGACCGTGTATAATTCTGTTATTTCCTGCGTGTATATTGCATGCTAATCTGTTTGTTTTTTAGTGTCAGTTTCACGTAAGCTACTCATACATGTCATAAGTCCGGTAACTCCTTACAAACATCCAATCAGCAACTTTAATCCCTGCCACATTGCTTTCCCGCTCTTAATTCGCATATTAATCTGTTTGTTTTTCAAGCGTCAGTTTCATGTGAGCTACTCATACATGTGATAGGACCGATAACTCCTTACAAACATCCAATCAGCAACTTTAATCCCTGCCACATTGCTTTCCCGCGCTTAAGTTTGCATGTTAATCTGTTTGTTTTTCAAGTGTCAGCCATGTGTAATCAACTCATAGAACAGATAATTCCTTACAAACATGTAAACATTTTTTGCATTTTTTAATTCGTCAGTTTTGTAATTATTGTTTTCTATCAACGTCGCCAAAATGTCAAAGGTCAAAGCCTCGCTTTGGTAGTGAGAAAATTAAAATTAAAATAAACACTAATCAGCTGCAATTTTCGTTGTTATGGTGCGTTGGTGGAGATTCCAATGATAAACCAGTGTGGTAAGTTATTTAGAGGTACCGGTAGTCAGGTAGTGTATGAATAGAATAGAGTAAAGCTTGACGAACATAAAAAATAAACGCCGATATATCATTTTTCCAATTTTTCAACTTTCAAGATCGAAGATGAAGATTTCATTTGAAATTATCAGTTCAAAGGAGCAGGGAAAGTATCGCAACAGACTTTTGATAATTTTGACAGTTGATAATTTTTTTGTGAGTAGTTTCTGGCTGTAAAAAGTAAATGCTTGGGAAAGGCGAATCTATAATCTTCAAGAAAAGTTCAAAGAATAGTTTCCATATCAATTGGATTATCTTATAATCCATGTTTAATCCACCCATCAACAAGCTTTTTCAAAATACATTCGTGATTTTCACCATCGTCCCTCATTTTTTTTACAATTTTTCATGCAAAGTTTCATTGTACTTGAACACATGTTTCATCAAGTAAAATATGTAAGGAACTCCATGAAGTTTGTTTTTGAGTTTTTTTTTAAAAAAATGAACCTCTTAAAATGCATGTTTACAAAAATAATTTAGGAGTGATGTAAAAGATGGCAATGTTTTTCAATAATAACATGCATAGGTGGGTGAATTACTCATGTGTGTTGTGTTTTAATCCTGCATTCACTGACTGAGTTAGCCTATTGAAAAATCATAGAGATTAATAATACAAACAGTAATACTATGAATACTTCTACTTCAAGCTCAAATAGCGCTTTCAGGGTCCTGTGTTGAAATACTAGATCACCTTATGTGCATGAATTTTCAAGAGAAACCATCAGTGCAAGCAATTAAATGAAAGCATCATCCGAACATCACTTGAAAATTACTACAGTGGTGAAAAATTGCAGGATGTTGACAGAAAATGTGCCTAGGGGAGAGGGTCCTCTCTCAACTCCCCTCCTCCCCCTCCCTGGTCATGGGACTAATACATGTGATATGGCAAAGCCCAATTCATAGATTAAGTTTCCCTTGCAGTCTTGTTGGCATTTTTATTAGAGTTCATGTTTTGTTTATGTTAATGGGTGAGTGGAAGACCCTTGGGTGGGAATCAAATATAAAATGTTTTCTAATATTTGAAATACTTTGTGTATGTACAGTCACAAACTCTAGGCAACATTAACTAGTAATGGGGCAACACCCCAACTCAACTGAGTGAATGTGTAAACCATATAAGGAACAAAAAACATTACATAAAACAAACTCAGCATGCAAACATGTAAAACTGGCATGGCAAAACAATAGATTTTAAAACTGAATAATAAAAGCACATGCGACTTGAAAACAAGGGATTAAGGAACTGTTAAAATGACATGAATGGGGATTGGTCAATATGAATAGTAGAAATATGAAAAATGTGAAAATTTTACATTTAGTATTGATCATGAACATTAGAGAGGTTAAGTACACAGGCTCGTAGGCAGGTAGAGGGGGAGAGATAAAGGGAGCTGCTGCTCCCCCAAGAGATTCTTTCAAAATGATGCAGTTTCTCACCAATCTGAGCACTTCGCATGATTGTTTAGCCAAAACTGTCAAAAAGTTCATCCCTAGGCAAAAGCTTTGCCCTTGCTCCTACCCCTTGGTAAAAGCTGGCTACAGACTGTGTAAAACACTTGTGTGAGAACATGAACATGAACGAGTACTGTTATGACCCCCAGTAATGTTGTCCATCTCTCAACTGGTTTAACTGGGGACCATTACATCAATTGGCATTATATCAATCAGGCAAAAAGAGGCCAGTGATGTGAAAATAGTCAATAGCACGGTGTTATAGCATGACGGTTACGCAACCTCTGAAAACGAGGTTGGACAGCTACGTTCACTGATTTATCCAATAAAATGGCCGCGATGGAAGAGAAAACTAAGGTTGGCGCATTATTTTCTACTTCTGTGTATCAATGAAAGTATGAACGATTTATGTAAGAATCGCATTCGGTGATACTTTCAGTAATGTATATTTTGAACGTAGCCTTTGCAAATTGATGCCCGGGGATAACATGAAATAAGAGAAAAACTGTCGAGTTTGAAATTCAAAACTACACAAAAATTTAGTAATTTGTTTTTTTTTGTTTTTGTTGTTAGGGCATGGTCTACATTGCCTAAAAACCTTGTGGTATATAGATGTAACCTACATACGATCATACAAAGCCAATTGAGCATGTACTGAGACAACACGAGAATGGATCAAAACTTATAAACTTTGATATCTCAGTCGGTAGGTTTACAGATTATATTCTGTTTCTTGTAGACCACCTGGCAGATTTGACCCAGTCTTTATAACCATCCATATAAACGTCACCGAATGGAACTACTTTAAAAGGAAATCTTATCTGTGAATATTGCCTACAGGCGAGAAAGAGGACATGCTGCCTTTCCCATCCGCCATTTTTTGTTTTCGTTACCGCAAAATTTTGCAAATCGCCTTGACGTAACCGTCATGCTATAACACCGTGAATAGGGGACCATAAGTTTACAGTTGGGGACATAAATAAATGACAGGTGGATTTGCTGAAGTGAGGATTTCCCATGTTAAAAATAAGAGAATTTACAAGAGGCCATACATCAGTGGATGAGATTATACAAAATGTAAAATATACAAATTTAAAGGGATATATATCTAGACAATATTGGAAATTATGGGCTTTCAGACCACCATAATTAGGAAATGGTGATCGAAAATCGACCTGTCATTTATTTTTGTCCCCAACTGTACACATTCCATGTGTACGTTCATCAAAATAGTGCGATCTTAACCTCCCTAATAACTGAAATTGTTGACTCAACCAATAGAATCATTTTATGTTTGTTTATATTTGTTCACATTAATATGGAAGAAAATCGGACATTTTGCTAAAAAGATGTTATTGTAAATCTTAGAAATAATGATAAAGGTAGTATACACCACACACTCAATGGTATTGATTGTGGTTTTCAGAGACTCTCAATAGGGACTTTAAGCTTGCAATGTTTTTCACAACCTAAATGTGAATGGAAAATATTTAGCGATGCATTTGTATGGGCGATTGGTCATAGGTTGGCGTTTCGATTTTATATGCAAGCTTAATCTCCCTAATGTTAACATTAAGGTAAGAGCTTACGTTACTCATAACATTTTCTTAGGATAACATTTCTTGAATTGATGAATATGCAAAAATTATTCTTAGCATATCATCCTTCATTTCATTATTTGAATAATCAATCTGGAGATAAACTCAAATAAGGAAGTGTGTTATAACACATCATCATATAGAAACATGTTCAATGTTTTTTCAGAAGCTGGATCAAAATATTTGTCTTACTAAAATTATTGGCAAAGGTATGATGCACTAAATTCTAGTACTGTATTGATGATTTTAATAGCACTGTACCTCGTGAATCATTACTGATAAACAAGATACAGAAAACCTGTTCAAAGTAAATGCTATAATAAGGCATCATAGAAATTATCATAAAGAGAGGTATTAAGAATTTCTTAGCAACTTACACACACACACACACAGGTTTAACTGCACTCAGACATTAAACAGTCAACTTGACAGGTATTCAGAATTTTTTGGGAAATGCTGCGGTTATGCTCCATTGATTAAACAGGGGATCAAACAGCAGGGGATCAAACAAGTTCAACCATTCATTTATGAAAACATTTTGAACTAACTTTATGGCACACTAATGACATCTTATATGAGTGTGCTGTACTAAAAGCACAGCCCCATTGGATCCCCTTATATTGGATTATCATAATCCTAATCCACGAGGAGTTCCTTATATATTTTAAGTGATGAAACATGTGTTCAAGTACAATGTAACTTTGCATGAAAATTGTAAAAAAAAATGAGGGACGATGGTGAAAATGACGATTGTATTTTGAAAAAAAAGCTTGTTGATGGGTGGATTAAACATGGCTTATGAGATAATCCAATTGATCTTGAAACCATTCTTTGAATTTTTCTTAAAGATTATACATTGGCCTTTCATATGCATTCATTTTTGTACAGCCAGAAACTACTAGAAAAAAATTATTTACTGTCAAAAATCTGTTGCGATACTTTCCCTCGCTCTTTCCCGCCGGTTAACCGACTTTAACCGGTAAAAACACCCGGTTAACCGGTTAATGCTCAAGCAGTTAATTGACACCACTACTGTCAACTGTACAAGGTAAATCATACAAACAATTTCCAACATATTTACAACAATACCTCATCAGATGTCCTTGTTAATGCTTTATCCTGTAGAACTTCTAAAGTGTTGAGATATTCCTTTGGTAAAATATGATTCATGGACACAAGACCTTGGCCCAATTTGATGTAAAGTCCACCATTTTGTAAACATCCTTGTAAAATGCGCTCTGCCGCACGTTTGTGACATGGCCCCAGAGCTTTTTCATATTCTTCTGATTCCTGTAAAAGTAAATTTATTTAAATGTCACTTAGCCTGTATTCTTCATTGAAACTGTACGGAGTGTTCAAGAAGTATCAATAATTAGCACAATATTTAATGAATGTCCTGTACTTAAGTCCAGACAATCAACTCATCAAAAAATAATAATTATGATTTACATTTTTGGATTCTATGGATGTTTCCAAAATCAAAATTAAAATTTAATACTTTTTCAGTTTTCAATATAATGTTGATTCATCCATAAATCCCAACATGATTAACAGTAACAATAGTATGAAAAAAAATTTACAAAAAAAACAATGCCACTGTAACAAAATTCTAACAACGCTGACACTGAATGTCGAATCATTAGAAATGAGACTTTAATAAAACATGGTGGCATAAAATGGTAAAAAACAATACTTACTTCATCTAAGTTCCATAGTGTGTATTTGTAGTCTATTGAGATTTTTAATCCAATAAACAGTGACCTAAAAATATAAAACAATGGTGTTAATTTTGTAAAGGTAATATATAATACAATAATGAAAGTTCAATGTTATAAATGTAAATGAAATTTATCATGTTTAAAAGATGGCACTACTACAGTGGTAAATCTAGGTATGACGTTATCCCATAATGCAATTGTAGTACTTCCTGTTTTCCATGCCTGTCTGATTTGCTAGATAGCTTGACAATAAATTGTGTAGAACCTACTGACATCTTAGTTATTCTTGAAGTGTAGAATATAACATTCAGGAGCATAATCCAGAGTCTAATATTAGACGAGGCAAATTTGAATAGATGAGGCAAATATAAAAAAAGTGAGGCAAATGTAAGATAGGTGTGGCAAATATAAGATAGGTGTGGCAAATTCAAGATAAAGAGGATTAATGCTACATTAAGACATCATGTTTACAGTTTTAGAAAGTAAGAAGTGTGAATATCACCTTTTCTTTAAAATGATCATCTTTACAAGCTTATGTTGCCATTAGGTACAACATTATGTCCAACTCATGCTGAATTTCAACATATTGAATGGTCTATTATTGTTTACTCCTTACTGAATAACCTCATTAAACCATTTAAGTTCTGGCATTACTGTCAGTCTTAAAGTGGGAATGCAAGACTACTTTAAAACACTTTGAAGCTGTATTGACTTAAGTATTAAAAATGTGTTGGAATTCATAAAGTTGACAGCAAAAATTTGAAGCACCGGTAAGTCTAAACAGTTCATGTTAAGCTATTGGAAGTTGTGAGACTGTGTTAGACGTCAACCACCGAATGCTGAACACCATCCATAAAAGGTTGGAGACTAGAACAACATGTCACTTTTTGTGGTGATACAAAAAAGCATGCAAATATCTCCCTTGGAATCCTTATTCCATTGTCTAATATTAAGATTGCTTCCAATCGTGACAATCCGCAAGTATCCTATGGCTTTTTCACTGATAAAACAGTTAATTAATCAATGTTTCCACCCCCTGCAATTGAATTTGATTAAAATCATTTTATGAAAGTAATAAAATATTCTAAACACTGTTACTCAAATACCCTGGTTAATTAGGAATTCACAATAACCTCTTAGACCAGTATTGATGCAGAACATCTCAAATGCATGTTTGAATAAAGGCAATATCTAAATAAATATTGCTTAGCTGATCATTAAGTGTCTAAATTTTTTGATAATTCTGATTTAATGTTAATCATAGAGTTGTATACCCTCAAAATGAAATCAGAAATTTGATGCGGTTTCAATGTCGGAACTCTGCTGAATTGTTCAACGCTGGTTTGGTACAGAACCCAATGTAGGAGCAATTTTGATGGCAAATTATATTGGCTGCCTAAAAGAAGAATTTTGTCGGTTTTTGTGAAAAAAAAGTCATACTCTAGCAAAGAGTATATGATCAACAAATAACACTGAGTTGAATTCTTTTTATTGATTTTTATATCAAGAATCAAAATTCAACTTAGTTTATGGCTTTGATATCCTAAAATGTGAATTTTTTGCTATTGATTGAATTGCGTATTTTTAATATGAATTGCGTATTATACAAAAATAGGACAATATAATCAAAGTACTGAAAACATTTTATGTGTAAGATCTATGTCACTCTCACCCATCAGCACAAATGCCCGTCGGCAAGACGATTACACTATAGAATGTGATAAAAATGAAATACCTTTGAAATCGCCCAAATCCTTGAATAATGACTCTCGCTTTCCTCTGGGTGACTTTATCTAGCGATGCGTATGTGGCGCCACCTATGATTGGCAGTCCTGCTAATACATAAAACCACCGACGACGATAGAAAGGTGGTTTCACAGGCTTTGCTTTAAGGCTCATGAACCTTGCAGCCTGTATATACACCGGCCATCGCATGCTAGTCCACGCTGCAAAATAAAAAGTATTTAATTAAATGTCTATCCTTTATACTGAGAATAGATAAGGAAGATAATTGAAAATACAATTTTTCTATTATTGAGGAAACAAATTGTACATCATTTGATATATAGAGGTTATTTAATGGGAGGAATGGAATATGAATTTTATTCCAAGGGAAAATATGATATTGGCCGAGGAAAATGTTACTATGGAATAGGTTATTTCATGCTTGATTTTCAATATAAATTTTATTTCAGGGTAATATGAGATTGATGGAGGGAAATATATTATAGACGGAAAGAGCTTTTTATTCCATAATATGATTTTTTCTATGGACCTGTCACAAGTGAATAGGGTTTAAAAACCAACTCATATCTGACACTGTATTCTTATTAGAGTTCTTGTTCTGTAGCTCATTGAGTCCTTCAGGACTGGTCACTTCAAAATCGTTGCTAGATTGACGATCTTTGTTCAAAGGGGTCTCCAAGGGACCCCTGAAGATAAAAATGCATGATTTATCAATTTCTGTAATCTTGAAGTCTAAACTTTTAAAAAAAAGTTCATGACTTTTTGTGAAGTCGTTAAGGGGTCCCAAGCTGGCGAGGCCACAAAAAATTGTGAAAATGCGCCATCTTGAATTATGACGTCACGATGACAGTATCTCATTTGCATATTCACATTTTTTTCAAAAAACAAAGTATTGGTCTAGCCCTTCAAAATGATCTATAACTTATTGTGTCTTGCGGCGTATCTTTTCTTCGTACCTTCATACCAAAAGTTCTGGAAGAAGGATGTTTTCTATATGATCCAGATCTTTTTTTGTTTTTGTGTCTTACTAATTAGTTAGGGGGGTAGTTGTTTTAAAGCTCACTGGACATGGGTTTAGAGAATCAGCTATCAAGCTTGCTATATCTGTGATTTAATTTTTCTGTGTTTCCTCTAGTCCTGGTATTATCCGAATTCTGGGCGATGTCACTGATTTGCATCCAGTCGTAACCTTTGACAAATTTGAAGATTTGGATTAGGTCACCCCTTGTTCTTCTATACAGTAAAGAGGGAAGTTTTAGTTGTATTATTCTGTCTTCATAGCTCGAATCCTTCAATGATGGTACTAGCTTTGTTGCTCTTTGTACTCTTTCAATTTTGTCAATATCCATATAGGTGTGGGGGTTGCAAACACTGTTTCCATATTCAAGGTGAGGCTGGACCATGCATTTATATAAGAGTGGTAAGGTAGCTTTATCAGGATGAGAGAAAGTTCTCTTTATTGTCTCAAGAATACTATTGGCTTTGGATACTTGTATGTCAACATGTTGGTGAAATTTGAGTTCATTGTTTCTATTGATTCCAAGGTCTTTTTCCAGTGTTGTTTGCTCCAAAGTTTTGTTGTTCATGGTGTAGTTTTCATTCTCGCTGTTGGTACTTAAATGCATCACCTTACATTTGTCTGTATTGAATGGGAGTTGCCATTCTTTTGATCATTTTGTTAGACTGTCCAAATCTTTTTTCGAGGTCTCCTCTGCTGAAGGCAGCGCAAAGTAGGAGCGTAGCGACTACTTTGCGGGAGACCTCGAACCATTGATCACGTTTGCTCCTGTAATTATTCACTTCTTCACCTCTTTAAAATGAGATTTCAATCAGTTGATCAAATCTTCGGACTTTGACCTCAATTTCAAATATAGATATTTATAAGAAAAAATACTGACTCATTATTATATTTTTAGAAGTCTTTCAAATAAAATGAAATGGAGCCAAAATCAGCTAAAATTATGCAATGTCGTAAAATGGCGTTTCTAGAATATGATGCAATCACCCGTGACGTCACAGACACGAATCGCCACATCAACAACTAAAACAATTAATATAGACTTCGCTGATTGGTTTAAAGATTCTTCGCATCATTTGTGACGTCATAAACATGTTACCCAACCAACAACTAAACAAATAATAACTAATGGGCATATAGGTTTGTTCAGTGCCACGCTCTCGAATTGATTATAAACAGGATAATCAACAGATATATGATAGGGTCAGAATTTTTTTTGACTTGGAGACCTCGACTCGAGGAGTTTGCTGCATTTTCTTGTTGTAACTGTTCCTTATCTTCTTGGTCTTTATCTCTACCACACAGTTTGGCATCATCTGCGTACAAAAGAAGTTTGTTCTTTGTGGCATCTGGGAGGTCATTTATGAACATCGCATATAGGGATGATCCAAGGCAGGTACCTTGAGGGATACCTGATAATAACAAGGGTCCACTCAGATGTCGTTCCATAATCACTGATACTCTCTGGAGTCTATTAGTTAAAAAAGATCTGAACCAGGCAAGTACAGAAGAGTTATCCCGTGCCAGGACTATAGTCCTGGAACAACCCCAATCTTTTGCCTGTACGATTACAACTTGGGAGAATTATCTACGCCCCTTACACTTTAGATACCTACTTCAATAGATTCCTTGGTATTTTAGCATTATTTTTGTGTAGTTGAATCCAAAATTGTCTGGGTTTATCGGCAGAACGCAGAAATTTCCGTTTTTGAACGAGAGAAATTCCATTACTTCCAAGATGGCGGTTGGATTAAAAAGGTGATTCCCCGTTTGATGGCCCCGAAGTGCCAATAAATAGAGGAATTTGACGGTTGATAGTTGAATATTACACGCAAATATTTCGATCTAGTCGTAATCGTACAGGCAAAAGATTGGGCTCGTTCCAGGACTATAGTCCTGACACAGGATAACAGTAGAGTACCCTATCTTGCTTCAAGATTCATTTTATTTTTTCATTTTTCCAAAAAGTGACCAGTCCCGAGGGAGTTAACTAAGTCTTGTTTACCATGATCAAAGTAGTCAGAAAAACCAGGTGGAAGATTGTTGGGCCCATAGGCTAAGGGTTAAGTAATAGTAAGCTGTATATATAAGAGACAGGTCCACAAGTAAGATTGAAAATTATTCAAATTTTTTTAGTCTTGGCACTAGTTCTCCTTACTGGTATCAAATTTTATTCCAAAATTTCTCCAAAATCTTCTTCAAAGTGTTTTTCAAACTTATATCATTGTTTTTTTCAAATCTTTATCTAAAAACTGCATATTATACTGCATATAAAACAACAACTATGGAAACCTACAATTGCCTGGCAAGCTGAAACTGATTGTCACTGGTGGAGGTCAGGGAGGTCAGCAGTGACCAATCAGATCACTTGTTTACTAATGAACTTGCCAGGCAATTGTAGGTTTTCAGAAATTCTCTCTTTTAGACAGCATATTATTCACTCTATATCATCTGACTGAGTTTCAATCTTAGGTAAGAGCTACAAACTATCAATTTTATATCAACTCCCCATGGCTTTTTGAAAATAATACACTAAATATTGTTGAAATCTCCATCTTAACAAGTGGTCTAAGTCAGAGTTGTTCACCTGTCTCTTATATATACAGCTTACTATTACTTAACCCTTAGCCTATGGTTGGGCCAAAAAAATGAAAAAAAATCACAAAAAAATCTGATTTTAGAATCTTCTGTTCAAAAGGAAACATGCAAGTCACACCAAACTAAAATAATATGACAGTTAATCGAAAAATGCATACATCACCATTCGAGAGAACAACTATATACTCCTTAATACGCCGTTAACAGGTAAAACCGAAAAAGTTTCGTAAGATTATTTCTTTATCCGGGTCTTTTGCTAACCTTACACAGTACGAAAAGTTTTATTGCGAATATACGAACGATCAATTGTCCGATCGAAAACTCGTTCGGATTTATAGCCGTCAAATATCCATTGGGAAACCATGGCGTAGAATAATGGAAATAGCGTCATGAATCCCGGGACAATGAATTCTCGGATCCAAGTACGTCATTAATGGTCCAAAATCAAAATATTGACAAATTTATAACCTAAAAGGCCGAAAGATTATGCGGCAAATATTGAAACGGGGGTTGTCAACATATTGTATTAGCTTTGATCTCTTAGAATCCGTTGAATCCTAAGCGATTGGAGTTGTTTAGATCACTTAACGAATGATAATATGAAATGATGAGGATTTGGGGTTTTTCAAAGTTTATAATGGCGGCCAATGGGGGATTTTAGCAAAATATCCCGAAAATTAAATCATTAAAAGGCCGAAAGATCTGTGGATGGATTTTGCTGTTTTATATATCAAAATGAACACTTCGTTGGGTCTAACAGGGATCCGTTGAATCCTAAGAAAATAAACTTGATTTGCTAAAAAGTTATTAAGATTTTAAATTTTGATGAAGACTGCTCTCCATTGAAATCTTTGGACCATGAAATGTCGATTTACGCGCATGCGTTGTGACGTTATTTCCATTATTCTACGCCATGCGGGATGTTACTGTATATTTTCAAGATTGATCCTTTTGCAATACATCAAACTTGTATGTAACGAATATATTATCATAAGAGCCGCATTGAAAAAAATACGCAGGCCCGAGACCCCCGGCATTTTGTGACACCCTTCATGATTGAAAGATGTGCGGAGCGGGACAGCCCGGGACCATGGTCCGTTTTTGAAAATACTTGAACGCATTGAATGAAATCGTTATTTTTTATTTAGATTTTATTTATTCAGGGATATCTAATAAGAAAAACATATGTTTTCTTGTTTCCATTAGAACCCTGCAGACAAACATACACACTACAATCAGCAATAAAATATGTGACAATATCAAAATTAGAATTAGTAGGCCTAGGCTACATTGATAAGTGTAAAAATAGTATATGGCTAGACTAGGCTGTAAAATAAGCATTTAAAATTTACTGTCACACTTACATTCTATTGAGCATTTAAAACATGTAAAATTACAATTATTCACCAATTGAAGCAAGAAATTGCTTTAGATTAACTTTAAACGATTGCACTGTTGCAGATTCCTTTAAATCTAAAGGTGCCTTGTGTTCCAGAAAACAGATGCTCTATGACTAAACGTTTTGGGTACCTGTATCATTACAATTCTGTTTATTAAAAATATATTTGTCAGTAGTAGCACGAGTGCCATAGTTGTGAGTGTCCTTAGTAACCCCCCTATCACACCAAACTAGTTCTTACCCGTTCTTACCAGTCCTACGAAAACGTCGTAAAACGGGCTCAATCTGGCTGTGATCGGGAAATATGTCTGAAATAATTAGCTTATTCGTTCTTAAACAGTCTTCAATACGTCCATCTCGTTCGCAATGCGTTCTGGTCGGACCACGTCGGTGTGCAACGTAGTAGAACGCGTCCCTTAGTCTAGAAGGTCAACATGACCTGATTACAGAACGGTATGGTCGCCATCGAATTTTGAATCGATTCAAAATTCTAAAATCACATTCCCGTCTGAGAACGTTCATAAAGTTCGTAAATAGACCTTCGAAAGTTGCAGCTACGTTCATTCCGTTCGCACACAGTTTAAGACCAGTTTTGAAGAACGCAGTGGCAACTTGTTTGGTATGATAGCTATATTTTTGCTAACTCGTTCATAAACAGTGTTAAATACGTTCTTAATCAGGTTAAACACGTTTGCAATTAGTTCTACCTCGTTCTCAACACGTCCTCAGATTGTTCAACTCGTTGTTAAAACGTCCCTAGTAGGATTGAAGTACGACGGTTCCGTTCGTAGTACGTCCAGCTCGTCGTTAGTACGTTGTCATTCGTTCTAATTGAAGAACGTGACGACCACGAGAACATTTTGAGCCTTGTCTAAGTTCTAGAGGACCTACCCGTTCGAGTACGTTCGATGAAGTTTGTAAATAGATCTCAAACGGTTCTTAGTAGGTCCAGTCCGTTCGTACACAGTTGAAGCCCGTTTTCGAGAACGTAGTGAGAACTAGTTTGGTGTGATAGTAGGGTAAAGGTAAAAATGAACCAGTCCATTCACTACCTTATACATTAGTGTCAGGTTTGTGCATGTCCTGCCTCTCTCTTATGGATGGCCACTTGCAGAGTATTTCTAACATCCTGGCCAGTGCTTTTAGGGTTGTAAGTGGATATAACAACCACATATATAAAGTCTGGGGCTCATATCGGGTGCATTTAATTAGCATGTTTCGAGCATAAATTTTGTAAAATGGCGATGAAATCATAGCCATTGGCGATACTAATACTACTAAGGAGAATGATATTGGTTCAAATTATGCTAAATGTAAATTAAACCCATGCTAATGACTGAGTTCAAGAACTAACATTTCTTTGGGTTGTTTTATTTTCACAATGATTATGGTTGGTCGAATTAACGAATAACTTAACGTGACACGTCTGTTTTGATTTTACTTTGAGCTTTGCTTGATTTCTGAATTTTTTTAACTTATCCCAAGGTGAATAAAAATTTTCTGCATCTACGGGTTGCCATCGAAAAATTTGCCAAGCTTGATGAAATATGCTATTTTTCATAAAAACACTAAAGAAAAATTCACAAATCTGGCGGCCGTTTTCAATAATTTTTACGCCTAGCATTTGTTTTTAGTTATCCTTTGTGAGATATTGCAACTTCGTCTGAAATTAAATCAACGGCTCTGTTAATAAACCAGAAAAGTAATTGGTAAAAGCTTCGATAAAGAGGCTACTAAACTGTGAAATAACATGACCTCATTTAATCAACTAATATAACCCACTAACTGATCAAACGAGTCAAGTAATTTTTAAAATGATAATATTTTCCCATTGTTTGATGGTTCTCCATGGTTTTCACAGCAGTATTTAACGAACGTGTTGTCATGAGGCCGATGGAGATTCTAGGACCAAGATAACGGAAATGTTAATGCAAACCCAATTGTGAAAGGTCGCACTAACTTACGATGAGCGATGCGCATCTGGATTATTGCAAAACAGCAACAGTTCGTGATCGAATGAATTCTAATTAAAAAAAATTTGCAAAAATACTTTTTAGAAAATTGACTTTGCATCAAACTACTCCCAATTCCAAAAATTTAAAAAAGCATAAGTCATACGTTGGCCATCCAATGGGCAATTATGAAATGAGATTGAATTTCAAACATTACCCCCATCCAAAGGCTGTCAAAATATGCGTACAGACTATCAAAATATATTAAATGGGATTCCTAATAGATAGAAATGTTACTGATATATTCAATAAAAACGAATGTCTTTGTAGCTAGTAAAATATGTCTTCGTATCATTTCTACAAGACGGAAAAACTGTCTTCCAAACCGTTTCCGAAGCGAGGGAACCGATTTGTAGTCCATGGTATGAAATCTATAGGACGTCTAATAAAGGAGCTGGTAGCACAGTATAGCGCGATATTTGACCTAACATTAACATACCTACATATGTTCCCAAATAATTTTTATTATAACTGTTTAATATACTTCCGGCTTTTAAGGTGAATTATGCCTCTCAATAGCAGAGGTCAACAAATTACAAAAAACTAAAATCCCATTTTTTCACAATTTGGAGTACACAATGCAACAGAAAATAATATATACATATGATTTTAAATATATGATTTAGGTTTCTAAGCTATACGTTTGAGGTTCTTATCAATACCAAAAAATTATGTAATCGGTGTATCGACGTTTTGTATTTTTTCTCAGCTATCAATGAGATCAATGCTACAAACGAATCACTTTTATATTAGAATGACAAACGCTTAATTATGCTAGTTTTTCACAAAATGGGTCTCAATACGTTTTGAGATATGGACTGTGAACATTATCAAAAAGGAGGGTCTATTGCTCTTCCGTGACTAATTACGACTTCACCTAAAATTCTATTTCTCGGAGTTAGATATAACTCAGTTGCTTATAAAAACAACCATCAAGACTTGGTCGAATTCATGAATAATTGAGAAAAATTGTTATCATTATCTTCCTAAAATTTGATTGTATCCAGCGGTAACGTCAAAGAAGAAATAACCATCAAAATCATGATTTTATTAGACATGCCCTTGGAATATATTAACATTCCAATACCTCTGTAACATTTAATTAGATATAAATCTTAACTATTTGTTGATGTATTATGTTTTATAAAACATGAACAATAATTTGTTGTTTGACCCCTTCTAATAATATGGATAAATTCTGGTAATAAAATGTTTAAAATGGTAAGAAAACTAATATGTTCGCAATCATAAATTACCTAAATATTCCACACAAGTTTGCTGAATCTGCTTGGCTCATATTTGAAAAATCAAACAAAATCTGAAAAGCACACTTGTGTAATTACACTAATTAAACACCGATATTTACAGTAAAATTCAATAAATGACTATGTTTACATTATGATAATCTATTTTTTGTCCGCGTGCTTAGAATAACGGTTTGTGTTTTATAAAATGTATAAAAGTTCGAATCAAAATAATCACATTTTTGACCCCTTTTGATGAAAGACATTTTTCGACCTGAAAGCCGGAAGTTTTTTCAGTAAATAGTATTTTATAAGAATCAAGATATATGCACCTCTTTAAATATTGCTTCAAATGTTGATGCGCTATAGTGTGCTACGGATCCTTCATATTCGGAAGTCATACCATGGACTATTGTAAATATCGAGATAATTACTTCATATTTCGAAAACGGAATCTACGCATTTCGTACGCATGGGTCGTATAAAAGTTAAAATTTGATGGATAATGGTAATTAAATCGAGAGAACAAAATAATAAGATTCTTCTATCGGACGTTGGACTTAAAACGTTGAGCGAAATCTCTCTATAGTTAGTGTATTCCTTT